CCTCTCTTCATTTCATCATGTTTTTTATTTACTCATTTATCACATATTCTTATTTTTCCTTGGAACAGATTGTATATTATTCGTATACAAAATAAAAAAAAAAAAAAAAAAGTTTTTACATTAATTAATTTAAAACTTTAAAATAAAATCCTTACTTAATATTATCAACATTAACAGCCGATTCTTTTGGAGCATCCAATCGTGCAGCCAATTGTTGTTTAACTCTTTGAACTTGTAAAGTATCCTCCATGCGAGGTTTTTTCGCAACTGATTCTTGAACATCATCAACAGCACTACGCTTAACCTATACAAAATATCAAAGTATGACACAGCATAACAATAAAATTAAAAAGTATATATAAATGAAACCTGAGTTGGAATTTCAAGTGGAGCACTCCGATCAATACTAGCAGATGCAGTTAATTCACCATTTAAATAAGCTAAAAGTTCTCTTCGGTCGGGTCTTCGTACAACTGGAATATTTTCGGCCTAAAAATATAGTTCAACAAAAGTAAATTAATCAAAGAAGATAATTAAGTATTGACCAATAACGAATTACTAACAGCTGCTTGTCGCACATATACTGGATGGGTAAGAGTTACATTTTTCAATAAAAATAATAGACATTCTAATGTATAATACTCTTTTGGTGAACCATCTTTACCAGACCTATAGCAAATATATTATTTAAACATATCATTTATAAAAATAAAAGGATATATGATATTCATTAATTTAAGTTTGAACTTAACTAAAAAAAAACATACCAATCAATATAACCCTTGTAGTTTATTTGTAAACTTTTGTAAACATCAACAATTCCACACTTAATACACAATATGTACTTACCCATACATCAAGAAGTTTGTATTAACAGTTTTTGGCCAAGACAAGTCACCGAATAATATGTGATTGTCCTTAATTATGATTTCTTTTTTATTAATATTATACGTCCGTAGGAACGTCAAAGGATCTGCCATTTTAAATAAAATCACAAAATTACGAAATAAATCTTAAACTGGGCACGAATAAAAATATGAATATTATTTAATATTTAATCACAAAACAATCGAAAATATAATATTGTGTACGTAATTCAGACTAGCGAACTCATTTTATCAAAATGGTTTTCAAAACCTAAACAAAAAATGAATGTGTTATCATTTGCTAATCATCGGAACCAAACAGTGTGACAACAAACATAATAATAATCACGTGCACAGTCTTAGACGGTGATTATGTTCGCAAATTAATGGATATCTTATAATAGGACATCTTGGCGAACGGACATATCGGCCAACGAATATTAGTGCAAAACAATTTATTTATTTGGAGTAAGAAAAAAAAAAAAAAACCGCCAATATGTAAATAATATAATATAATAAAAGCGAACACCAGCACATGGCCGCGATCTATTTCGTCGCCGCAAACTTTTAGCGGCGAAATGATTTTTTTCGTTTGAAACCTAGCGCCGTATCTTGGTTATTTTTCAACGTACGCTTGTGTGATCTTCATTATAATACGCAGGTCTGTTAGGGGCACTTCATAATAAAAGTACCACCTTTTTGATTTTTGGATCAAGTATATCTCGACGGGTTTTAATGATAGGATAGTGGTTTTAGCGCTCCCTCCTCATAGTTCGACACCGTAAAATCCATTTAAAGGGAACTAATCTGGAATTCGTCCGATCACTGCCAAACTTTGGAAACGGTCCCCAGATCACCTAGAAATTACCCTTATAAAATTTAGTGTCAATCGGAATAGATCGAAAAAAGGAATTTTGCTCCAAACTAGTTGGTGGGTCATTTAACGAGCTTACGCTCCCTTCCCAAATTTCAGGACAGTTCCGTTATGTAATATTTCCGATACCGAAACTAACATATAGACGCGTACACCAACAGTTGTCAATATTACTAAACAAGTTCCCTTCGACAATAAATAATCTTAATTACTATTTTGGGTGCACCTAGAGACCCGGCGGGAGTGCAATGGCATAATTAGGAGTCTCATTAATTAAATAATAGTATTAATACTGGAGTCGCAAAAGTATTGATTCGCAAATCCTGAAATTTCTGTATTTATGGTTTTTCGGCGGTAAAAAAAAAAATTAAAATAATGTAGATGAGTAGTAGTTAATTATTTAAAAAAAATAAACATGTTCGAAAATGATGAAATTGAAATTTATATTATCAAAACTCCCACTAATGAAAATATAACTATTACTATTTACAGTTCAATTTTTCACTATTATAAATTAAATAAAAATTAATCTATTTTTAGATTTAAGGTTTTCTTTCGTCGCATTTTTACTTATTTTTTATTTACTATATATTATTTTTTGATATCGTTAAAGATTATATAATTTAATTTATAGTTTTTAATCATATGTACCTATACAGGCAGAATTATATAGATTTATAATGTATTTTTATATTAATAATATAAATATATAATGATATGATTATGGTATTATTAAAACATTAGGTATTGTTTTTATAATGTTGGAGGTGTTGGGAGCAAAGCCCCACCCCCACACTCCACAGGTCCTTGCATCCCGAGTAATTTTCGCAACCCCTGACATTATGACAAAATTACGTCACCGTATTTACGTAAGTACATTAAAATTGTAATAACACGTTAAATCAGCAATTTGTAAAATTTAAAACTCAGTCATTGAACGCAACGGTAACAGAGATCTAACGTAGTAGCGGGTCGACGTGTCTTGTCAACCATCCGTACATGAACTGTTTCGATAAATTATTCTTCTCAGAGGTTTGTCAAATGACCCGAAGAACGAGTTCTGATGTCAAGTGTAATATAATATTAATTGTGTAACATTTTCGTAGACCGTTTGATTAATTCAATATGTGCGTTGATGTTTTTACCTGGCCGTACTGTAGGGCACCCATACGTACACTCCCGACGATTTCCACCTGTATGAATTATCTCAAATTCACGATAGGTAGAAACATATATTTTTATGTTATTACATATGAATATGCACATGTATTTAAAAGGTGTGTATACCCCATTTCCAATCTTAAATGTAAAACGCTATACGAATTGAAAGATGTTGAATAAAAACAATTATTTTCTATTCATAAATAATTTTTATTCTCTCGAAAACAAAATAAAATATTAACATAATGGAAAAAAAAAAAAGATCAGTCTATTAAATACGTGAAAAAATATTAAACAATACATTACAATAAAATAAAGGATTTAAACATAAAATAGTTATCATTCAAATTAATCGACTTCTTCTACGGTGGGTCCTTGGGAATGTGCTCCAGAGAAACCTTGGCCTCCGGGTGGCATTTGAGCTCCACCGGCTTGTCCACCGTGTAATTTCATCATAATACCCGAGCAGCTCTTCTGGATTTCCTTAAGCTTGAACTCGTATTCTTCTTTGTCCGCCAAATGATTGTTGTCCAACCACTTGATGATCGCGTCGCACTCCTGTTTGCAAGCGTTCTTCTCGGATTCGGTTAATTTACCGTCGGCCTCGTCCAACGCTTGTTTAACACCAAATACGTAGCTCTCCAATTGGTTCTTTGCTGCGATTTTCACTTTTTGCCGTTCGTCCTCCTCTTTGTACCGTTCCGCCTCGCTAAGCATACGATCAATTTCGGCCTGCGACAAACGGCCCTTGTCGTTTTTGATAACAATGTTCTTGGAACGACCGGAGCTGTTTTCCTTGGCTGACACGTTCAAAATACCATTAGCGTCCAAGTCAAAAGTCACGTCTATTTTGGGCACACCTCTGGGTGCCGGGGGTATGCCGGTCAGGTCGAACGTTCCCAACAAATTGTTGTCCTTGGTCATGGCCCGTTCTCCTTCGAACACCTGTATCGTAACGGCCGGCTGGTTGTCTGCGTACGTGGTGAATGTCTGCGTTTGCTTGCACGGTATGGTGGAATTTCGATCAACGATTTTAGTCATAACGCCGCCCGCGGTTTCGATACCAAGCGACAGGGGGGTGACATCCACGAGCAACACGTCTTGGATGGCGGAACTCGTGTCACCACTCAAAATAGCCGCCTGTACGGCGGCACCGTACGCAACAGCCTCATCCGGGTTTATGGACAAGTTGAGTGGCTTACCGCAGAAAAAGTTTTGCAAAAGACTCTGGATCTTTGGAATTCTCGTCGAACCGCCTACAAGCACCACATCGTGTATGGCTCCTTTGTCCAACTTAGCGTCAGCCAATGCTTTCTCCACCGGCTGTAGCGTCGATCTGAACAGGTCTGCACAGAGCTCCTCAAAACGAGCTCGAGAAACCCTGGTATAGAAATCGACTCCTTCCATCAGAGCATCAATCTCGATGGTAGCCTCCGAACTGGACGACAAAGTTCTTTTGGCCCGTTCAGCGGCGGTTCTCAAGCGTCTCAACGCTTTGGGGTTGCTCTTTACGTCCTTTTTGAACTTTCTTTTGAACTCCTCTGCCAAATGAGACACCAGCCGATTGTCAAAGTCTTCGCCGCCCAAATGCGTGTCACCCGCCGTGGACTTCACTTCGAATATCGAGCCCTCGTCGATCTGTAACACGGACACGTCAAACGTACCACCACCCAGATCGAATATCAACACGTTCCTCTCTCCTTTCAGGTTTTTGTCCAGACCGTAAGCCAAAGCAGCAGCCGTCGGTTCGTTGATTATCCTCATGACGTTCAGGCCGGCTATGATGCCAGCGTCCTTGGTGGCTTGTCTTTGCGAATCGTTGAAATACGCTGGAACCGTGATGACAGCGTCCGTCACATCACGACCCAAATACGCTTCCGCAGTCTCTTTCATTTTAGACAGGACCATTGAACTAATCTCTTCCGGCGCGAAAATTTTCCGTTCACCTTTAAATTCAACTTGTATTTTCGGTTTCCCACAGTCGCTGACCACTTTGAACGGCCAGTGTTTCATGTCCGCCTGCGTTTTTTCGTCGTCGAACCGACGGCCGATCAAACGTTTGGCATCGAACACCGTGTTGCTAGGATTCATAGCCACTTGATTCTTGGCCCCGTCTCCGATCAAACGTTCAGTGTCTGTAAACGCAACATAACTCGGGGTGGTTCTGTTACCTTGATCGTTAGCGATGATCTCCACTTTTCCGTGTTGCCAGACACCCACACAAGAGTATGTGGTACCTAAATCAATTCCTATTGCCGTTTTGCCAACCATTTCGTAAATTATTGACGTTTAGAAAATAAAAAAAAAAAAAATCGAAAACAATTTCGCAATTAAACTTTAATAGAGTCGCACTCTACCACACTCGTGTTTAAATCGTACGGAAAACGTTCACAGTAAATCGCAGTGAATTATCACTCGAACACTCGGTAAATTCGTATTACACACCAGAGAAGATTCCAAATTCGAACTGACGTCGGGTGGCACGCCGGTTACGTTTATATAGCCGGGAGAATGTTCGAGAACGTTCACCAAAGCTCGTAAAACGCAATAACCGCCCCCCCACACCGCTCCTCGATATTGGTACGTACTACACATAACAACCGTTGACAATTCTGAATTCTAGAATTTTCCAGACTTTTTTCCGTTTGTTTTCACTAAGAATATACATATATACATCTATATCCGTGGGTATTATTTTAATTCCGTAGTATTATACTAATCATTTTCAATTATTTTTTCTATGATTTAGTCGCCCTATTAATTTTCACTATAATACCGAAACGTTTATTCCTTTTGAACAAAATAAATTTGAGTGTTTAATATTTTACATTTAAAAAATGTAGGCTTACAATTATTAAAAACGAATCTGTTTTTCCATTATGCGCAGAGTGCGCATATGAACCATTGACTACTATCTAATTTATATAACATGTTCAATAAATATTGTTTATTATAAAGCAATTTTATCCACATAAAACCAAATAAATTCTTAAAAAAAAATCTTCGAATATGTTAAATACAAGGGAAGGTTATATAAATATCTCAAAAACCGATAGAATTTAGTTTTCAAAATTGTATTACTGAAGAGAACTTATAGGTACCTATATATGGAAAAAAGCTAAAATATAATGAAACCCTTATTGCCGTAAATATTGCTGTTTCCACAATTATTCAGAAACTACAATAAATATCGAAAAATTACCTCAATGTATCACCTAAATCAAAAATTCTACAAAAAAGTTCTTTTGATGTTTTCGTGATTCTGGTAAAAAAGTTGTTTATAGACAAAAAAACTAATACATATTAAAATCAATACATTCATCGTTATCCTCAGAAATTAAAAAAAACACTCATTATTATAAAAACAATACATGTTAGAAAAATCCATTTTTTCAGTATAGATGCATAATTAAAAAGACGTCCTAGGATAATGGGGATGGGTGCAACCACTGTTATAGATAATTTAATGTATATTAGCAACGATTAACGATTGCAAACGATTCTGAGCGCAGTTCAGTTGATAATGTAGTTACTTTGTCAACAATATATTTATATATGGTAAAATAATCAAATAAGCAATATATATTTTCTTTAAAAATATTTGTTCTAAATTGTACTTATTTTTCCGTTTTCCTATGGTTTTTTCATGGTTTTTCCCAGATTTCCCATTTATTGGAAAAATTAGTGAGAAAATCAATGAAATGACCTCTCTAAAGTACCCCCCCCCCCAGTCAGATTTCCTTTTAGAAAAATTGCTATCATTATAGATTAGAGCAAAATTGTTGGTAGAAAAGTTGTAAATGGGAAAAAAAAAAAAATAAATACCTTTGTAAAACTGTAAGCTTTTTCGCTCCACTAAGAATCTAAAATAATTATGTACCTACCAGCTACCTACTTAATTTACTATAAGAATCTTCCTATTCAATTACCTTAAAAACGAAAAACCTGTTTGGGTTCTAAACTATAATTTTTCTATACATACATTTAAGGTGGGTAATAATAAATAAGTGAATATTTATAAATAAGTACCTATATGAAATTATCTAGGTATTATTGTTATTATTGTCTAAGAGCTTCTTACTGTTTATTTAAAATAAAAAATAATATTGTATTAGTTACATACATGTACCTATTTTAATGAAACACAGGAAATAAACAAATTGATTAGATTTAATGTTTAATGTTGTGTTTATGTACTTATTTATTTATATATATAAATAATGTATTTTGCTAGTTTTTTTTATATATACTAGTGAACCTCAACCATTGGTATTGTATTTGACACATTATATATTTAGTGTAGTGTTTACACCATGTATGGTCATGTGAAAATGTTTCATTAAGATTAATACATAAATCTACAGGCAGAACTAAAACAAAAGTCAAAGCTTTTGGTTTTTTAAACTAAAATCCTAAATGGTCCATAGCGTTACATAATAAGCCACCTGGTGGTCCGCAACTGCAAAAAGATTGAAGACCACAAATATAGACAATGGTAATATGTATTTGGTTACAGGATGGGGTCACTTTGGCTTTGGATTTTTTAATCGATGGAAAATGTGACTGATGTTTCCCAATGCTTACAATGCAATATTATTAATATTGCTAAAATAACATGAACAGCGCCATTATTTTTAAAGGTTAGAAAAAGAAAACAAGTTTAAATGGTTTTTTTTTCAAATGATATATTTTATTATTAATATTTCATAATGTTAACAAATAATAATTATAACATCTAAAAACAGTTTAAACAACTAAAATATAATATAATATATGCAATATTACAATTAAAACTTATCAATAATAATTATACAAAACATTAACAAGTACATCTTATTTATTGGATAAGTAATAATAAAATTTGGTAACTAATTGATAATATGGTTTAGCATAAGTTTTTAAATGATATTTATTGGTAGGTATAAAGTGTAAATAAAATAATTATTCTAAAATCAATAGTAAAATACAGTTACAGTTGTTATTTAAATTTAAATTATTATTATTATTATTATTATTTTTTTTTTTTTTATTACAAACTATTTAAGAATATATTTTTTAATGAATAAAAAAATAATAATTGAGCCAATTAATAATGTCAATACCTATTATACATTTCAACCTAAATTTTAATAACAGTAACATTTTAGAACTGCTTGTCTAAAAAAGTTAATACTTTCAGAGATAACGAGTGTATTATTGAGGGTTGATAACCCTGTACGTAGTAGAAAATAAATACTCAGATTTATTCATTGAATTAAAATAGTGTTATGTGTGTATAAATAGTTCAAATGTGTAGTTATAACAAATCAATATGAATTAGATTATATATTCTAAGAATCAATAGTTAGGTAGTTAATATAAATTCACATAGATCTTAAACATTTATGTTAGAATTTAACACTGTTTCATTGCAATAAAATATACATTCAATAATATGCACTTAATGATTTAAAACCAAAATGTACAGATTTTTAGTCAAATCTAATGTTTAAATGAATCAAATAATGTATGTATTTTAAACATGAAATACAAAATAAAAAAATAAATAGAATTTTGTGAACTTAAATGATTCAAAACAACATAATCATATTTCTACTTTATATGGCACCAATAATTTAATTCAAACTACTTAACAAATATAACAAATATATTATATTTAATTAATAGTGTACAATATATTGTGTTAACTTATCCCAAGATGGCAATTATTATTTATTTTATAATGGGATAAAATATAATATGATTTTTAATAAGTAATGATTTGTCTTAGTGCCCTACACCAACCCTCATAACAACAAATATCATTTAAATTTAATTTAAAAAAAAAATTATTTATATACATATTTTAATGTACATTAATTGAATATAAGCCTTATAGTTTGAAGTTATAAATCACAATTCCTTGAAGTTGAACGGAGTAAAGAAAAAAATTATAAAATTATAAAAGTATTATGCTCCTACAATTTCTCCAGTCTTAACTTTAAATTAGTGTAACTAATATTATATTAAGTTTGATATTAAATGTATTTATATCATTATTTTGAGTAAAATAATTGTTTTGGTGATTTTAAAATCTCATTAAATCAAAAAGTTAATATTAGTTTAGCATACAATAATGAAGAGGGTGAAATATGGACTATTCTAAGAAGGTATTGACAGTTTTTATATTATTTGTCAAACAAGAAAACAATAAATTATTGTTTTTAAGTTAAAGTTGGTCAAATCACCATAAACAATGTAATAAACATTTTAATTTAATAATATTTGTAAAAATTCCATTTAACATATTGTTTGGTAAATATGATCATAAATTAAATATACTAGTAGATTTATTCTATAATATGATATAAAAATAATAAGAATAAAGACTTAAATAAAAAAAGTACAAAAATATTTCTTTGATTAACTAAATGAAATGTAAACATATATAAATAGATAACTTTCGTAATATATTATTTATTAATTAAAAATGCTCAATCCAACAGTTTAAGGTTAATAATAAATGTCGATACACACAAAATTAATATTGTATCAAAAATAATTTAAAATTGAATGATTTTTATTTAAAAATAATGTATAGCACCTTAGGAACATTATAAAACATAAACAACAATGAAATAACATTTTGCTAATAACAATTTATATTCATATGATTTTATTTATTATTTTGTCGTTTTTTTTAATTTTGTTGGATCAAAAGAACTAATAGAAGATAAAAGAGCCATTCTTCGATTGTCTGGTTGATTTACTTGTGGTGAAATAGTAGGGGGAATAGGTGGCGGCGGTGGAGGTGGAGGTGGATTGCTTGGTAAAGAAGATGAATTAACAGCAGCTAAGGCACAAAAAATAATATATTTCATTATTTAATTGATTAATTGCTATCTGTTCCATTCTAATTATTTTATTTGAATAGTTTTTATTATGTTTAGTTACCAACGTAAATTCTAATACAATATAATATGCTGTAATGCAAAAAGTGATTAAATAATTTAAATTAAGAAATATGTTTTAACTAGTTCCTAATTTTATTATTTTTCACTTAACACTTTTTTAAAAAATATTCACTAGTGTGTTGACAACACATATTTTGGTTAAATTTTGCATAATATATCAAATTCTTATTTTTTGGAATTTTTAAGTGTAATTAAATCCGATACTTTTGGTTACTTAGACTTTTCATAACATTTAAGAGGTATCCTATGGTTATACCAACTTGGGTTTTTCAAATGAGAACTTATATTAAAAATTCCATAAATAGATGGAGTATTAAACTTTATTACTTCAAATAAAAGATGTTGTGAAAATTTTTGATTTTTATCAACCTGTTGACAAGATATTTCACTTCTAAGTTGAAGTAGGCTGAGTAGTAGAGTATTAATAAAACACTGTGCACCACATAAATTATACTCCACTACTCTCCCCCTATCTAAAATTAAAAGTGGAATATCTTGTTAATGGGTTGACTGAAATCAAAAATGTTAACATCAAAATTTATTTAAAGTAATACTCGGTCTATTTTTAGAATTTTTAATATAGGTTCAAATTTGAAAAACCAAAGTTGGTATCGCCACAGGGTACTCCTTAAATAATGAGAAAAATCTAAGTATTCAAAAATATCAGCTTTAATAACACTTAAAAATTGCAAAAATCTAAACTTTAATACAGAAGAATCTTAGTAAACTGACAGATATGAGACCAGGGTACTGCCGGACTACTAAGATTCTACTGCATATGCAAAATTTAACTGAAAAAATGGGATGAGCATGCTTAATTAATCATCCTGATAGAGATAAATTGAGGCATTAAATACAAATTTTTGTATTCATCTACACATTAAACAATTATAAAAATCCAAAAAATGCCATATTAGATAGCTCTTTTGGACCACTTTTTATTTTATATTTTCTATGAGCATTAAAAAGAAAGTTAAAGTATTTTTAAGTGATTAATTTAAATTCTAAAACTAATTAATATAAATAAAATGATTTATTGGTATTAGTGTAATATATAACTCATCAGCATTTTCAATAAAAAAAGAAAAACTAAAATTTAGACCAATTACTTATTTTATAATCATTAATATAGAATTCAAAATTACAGCAATAATTATACAAAATATTTTTAAGTTACTTAGATTGTTATTTTGTAAATCTATTTTAGATAATGTATTACAAATTAATTAAATTTCATTAATATCCCAACACTATAAAAAAAACATATATTTTGCTTCCCTTCCAAACTAAAAAGAACTTTAAAGTTCCTAAGCAATTAAATATCACTAAAGCAAATTCATCATTTGGAAAATTGTGTACCAAATAATTAAAACCACTATCAAAACCTATAACCTATTAATTATGAACAATTTTAATACACACACAATTGCTCCTCATTATCTACCAATTCACTCCAAACTTAATTGAGTTCACCACTGCTTTATTTTCTAGCCACACGCAACTTTTCAATACACTTAATAATTAGAACTATTTTATCACTTGCAAATTGGTCTTTATTTTTATGAATTTGTACAATTTAATTTTTTCAGAAAATATTTCACTCTTGTGTTCTAGCTTTGGAATAATTAAACTTCCCTTTGCACATGTATACATAAATTATAATTGTTGATATCTATAATTTTAATTTACTTTTATTTGTAGAGACTTAAGATACAGAAAAAAAAAAAATAGGTAATTGTTATTATGTATTATATTAACATCATACTCACTATTATTACTTAATGTATCAGAACCAGTAGATGTTAGTGTACTATTACTACTGGAGCTATGTGATCTATTATTGTTTTCAAGTAAACTATTATTTTGTATTGAATGGAACTCCTGTAAAAAATAAATGTAAGTAAATACTATAATATACATTTTTAACTTTTGATCTGTACTAACAAAATGTTTTGGTTGAGTTGCTTCAGAAAGTTTCTCAGAATCATGAATGATTTTGTATATTTTTTTGTGCCGTTTTTCTAATGTCATCTATAAATACAAATAAAATTATAATTTACAATTATATAAGTATATTTTTTTAATAATGCACAAGTACATACTTTTTTTTGGTCTTCAAAAATTCTTGACATGCATTTCTCAGCAATTAGAATATAATGCTCTTTAACTATAGCTGGTATTTTGCATTTAAAAAAAGATGGGTCTTTTTGGTCGTCAATCAAACGAACACGTTTTAAATTTGTTATGATCATGTTTACATTTGGCATAGGTAACTTTGATGAAGAAGGGGCAAGAATATTTTTCATTTGTTTGGCTAAAAATTAAATATTTTATATTACAATTTAACATTAAAAATGTTAATATTTAAAATGTTATGTATTATTAACACTTTGACAGATATTACTGCTATAGCAGTAATATGTAAAATGTCATATTACATTAATATTGCTGAAATAGTAATCTTTTCAATAGTATTAAATCATAGAAGACATTGGATTGCCACATTATGGCAAACAACACTGACATTTTACATAGATTTTGTATGTAGGTATAACACTACTAATATAACAATAAAAATTATATTACAAGTGTCCGTCAATGTGTTAATACTATAAATTCAGATACATATGTAATGCAATACAAATTTTTCACATTTATATAATCTTACTTAAATTTAATGAAGTTTTCTGAGAAAAATGTTCACAAGAAGGCCTTGTTAAAGGTTCATTCTCAGTCAACTCATATAAAATATGACCAAATCCATAAATATCAGCATCATTTAAACTTTGTATGCGTTTTTTACCAAGCTGTACTAGAAAAGAACGGTAATAAGAAGGTAATCCTAAAGTACTATTTTCAATTCCGGTTAATTTAATACTTTCAATATCACAAACTAAAACATTTCCAGAGTGTAAATGACCTAAACAAAATATATTTAGATCAAAAAATTAGTTCAATGAATGTATTTATTAAAAAACTCACCATAAGGGATATGATTATCATGTAAAAATTTTAGTCCATATAAAATCTGTTTAATATAGTATACCATAGTTTGGTCAGGTAAATAAACATGAGAAGAAGTATCCCAATATTTTTTTAAAAAAGGTTGTAAAGGTGTTGTTTGATATAATAGATCTCTCAAACTGCCAACTTGAATGTTATGAACTGATAATGTATGACCTTCGGGACTTGGTAAAATCACAGGAACATCTATGAGTGGATGCTTTATAAAAAGAAAAAAACATTTTTAAGGAGGGTTTATCAACAACCAATATTTTCTTACTATAATGCTAGATATTGATTTCAGTACTGTAACCAAATCATGTGATTTAAGTGAGAGGTCAGGACCATTTTCAGTCCATGATAATAAAAGTTCTTGTTTTGGATCTTTTTTCCATTTAGATAAAAATGATTTTCTTCTTAAACGCCAACCAATATTAGGTAGTTCTTTAGATAATTCAAATTCTCGATTACCACGAAGTACCATACCAACTTTCTGGAATAAAGATTCTAAAAAAATATATACTTATGAAATCATTAATTTTTCTATAAAAATGTATAAAATTTAACATTTTTAAACATGTTCTGTAATATATTTTTTACATTTTAAATATTTAATGCTTATAGAAAAAGTAAGCATTACTCAACCTTAACAATGTATTTCTATGCAGTGACAAAATGAATGCAGTCTTTGAGAAACGGTTGCTTCTCGATTTTATTTAAGATTTAGGGATGGATGGTTGCTTAATATGAAAATTAAATATTATTACCCATTTACTCAATTTTGTGATATATTGAAAAAACTGGGAAATATTAGTGTATAGATAGGTTACTTCTAGATTATTTTTAGTTTGTTTCACTTCTGTTTACATGTAACAGTTAGGCTACAACTATAACTATAACTGGACTAAAGATAAATGTCCAAAGGAAGGAAGTAGTTGAGTTTGACTTTAAATATAAAAGTATGTTATCAAATTAGTTTGTAGTTCAAAACTTCATACTAAAATGTATATTTAAAACATATTAATCATGTTGTTATTTGCATTAAAATAAATTTAATCTTAACTAAAATAGAGTTAATATAAAATTATTATTATTATTATTTTTTTTTTTTTTAAAAAACTAAATAATTAATGATAACTACATATTTAAACAAATTATCAATAACAATATTCAAACCATAAGACTATTTGCAATTTATCAACATTTTATTGTTTAATTCAAAATAGTGGCAAGTATTTAATTTGAAAATGACAAATAAAAATAGGTTAGTAACATTCAAACACGCATACAAATGCAGATAAATATAAAATGTAGATAACTAATAAAGTCTTACAACAAAATGTGTTATATAAATAGGTATTTCTAAAATGAAGGACAACTCATTGGAATACAAGAAAAATTTTTTTTTTAAATTATAATCCTCAATATAAACTAGTTGCAATAATACCAGTACTAAGGTCATCTTCATCATTCATACTTCTGTATATAAAATATCAATGTGTATAACAAGGTGAAGTGCAGAATTTTTATCATAATAGTTTATTATTATATAAATATGTTTTATTACCTTTACAATAATCATTATAGGTTTCTGGATCCAAGAAACTTCTGATAAGCCAAGAATTTGCTAGCATTAGATTCTCAATCATTGTGTTTAACGAGCTCTAAAAACATAAAATAATAATGATTATTTTATGTTTTTCATTGTTTACACAAATTAAAAATATTTTGGTTGTATACATTGAAACAGTATACATTTATGTATTATTTTGTATATATTATTTTTTTTTTTAATAGTGATCTGTTAATAAATTATGTATACAATGAATTAATGACCACTCTACTGTTCTAAAATATGTTAACACAAAACTAAAATTAAATTGCCCTGTATATTCTAGCATTCTTCATTCCCAACATCCAACCTACAACAGTAAACTACTCAGGTGTAAAGTATCTCTCAAGGTTTTTTTTTTTTCGGTATTTAAATTTTAATTCTTTTTCATCTTCATCAGTTTACGGCCCTTGAGGGCGAATACTGCCATTCACACACTCTCTATCTACTACATCTTCCACCTGTACAATATCATCCAAGGTTCATAAGTATTTTAGTACTGTATATATACATTTTTATCTTGGTCATCCAAGAGGTCTCTTCCTATAGTATTTCTTTCATTTCACTTCCTTCAGCTCTCCACACATGCCCCAGCCATTGTATTCCATAGTTCTTCTCTAATAACACTATTTTATGTCTGTTTAAAATCTATAAAAACTATGTGAATTTCTTTATTAAATTCATAATGTTTCTCTAGGATTTATCTAAGGATGAAAATTTAGTCAATTATTAACTTCGATTTACGGAATCTACATTAGTAATCTAGCAAACTTTCTATGTAGCATTCTAATCTACTATGTATCACGTTCGCTAAGGTTTCATTTTTGTTTTTGTAGATTAGGCAGAGGGTACCAGTATTCCATTCTTCTGGGATTGTTTCATTTATCCAAATTTTTTCAATGAATCCATTGGGTATTTGGTTAATGTAGGTTCACCTGGTTTAATCATTTCTACGGTTATTAGATTTTCTCTTAAAGCTTAATTGGTTTTTAACTTCATTATAGTCTTTTGCACTTATTTAATTACAATTTTAATTAGAAAAAAGTATATTTTTAAAAAATTGTTAATACATTAATATTTCAAAAATTATTATATTCTTCAATAAAGAAAAAAAAAATTCAACAAATCAAAAACTACAGCTAACTATACTAATATGAATTTATTGTAAGTAAATGAAAAAATGTATTACACGTGTTATACTAAAATCAACGGTTGTAATCAACAAATTGTTGATTGTAGTATCAAAAATTAAAAAGATATTTAAATTTGTAATTGGAATAACTAATATATCTAAGCTTAATTATTCAAATAGTGAGTAATTATAATTACAGTTCATATTTATTTAAAACAATAATGATCTACTATAATCTAATGATAGTATCCCATGGTCACTAATAAGTAGGTACCTAATATTTAATATAATCTATTTTGATAATTTATATGAAATAATGATTAATAAATGAATGAATTATTAAAGCAAATTTAGTACAACTATTATTCATAGAAGTAGGGCTATGAATTTAATGCAATAATAATAATGTATGCCTTATATGAATTTTCAAAATCTCCTCCTTCACAGTTATATTTGCTTTTTAAATTATTAGATATTTTATAAATTTGACTAACTTGTAAAGCATTCTGTCGTTGCATGACCAACTTTCGATCCATGTTGCCAATATATTTTTTTGGTGGTATATCCAAATTAATTTTTGATGATAACTTGTTCAACATATTTTGTAGCTTAACAAAATCACTATACCGTTTAAATATTTTCCAAGTACAGTCCTGTGATCCAATACGAGTTATTTCTATCACATATTCCTTTAATGAAATATTACGTAAGTACTAAATTAGTATTTTAATGGATAAACAACGATGTAGGTATTCTTAGTACTTATATTTAATTATTTTTTATTCACCGTATAGCCATTTGTGTTTCGTGTATTGAGAACTGTACATTTTAATGGATGCGTATCATCAACTTTGTCCTTCAAAGTTGATGAGCCGTTGAATATTGACATTTTTACTTAAATCGATGTTAACAATGTTTAGCTATCACGACAAAAGCAATAAGAAAATACAAGTTCTAATCGCAGAACATAACTAAATAGAATTTACGACGCACTTTATTTAACAATCATGATTAATTGACTGAAAGAAAGTCGATAAATTGTTCAATAATAAATAATTATATAACAAAAACACAATATCGACTATTCCATCGTAGTTGTAACAATGTTATTATCGCACTAAAAAAAATCACCTCTTAAAAGCATTAAAGTATTATCATTGAACCACAGCCAATGACATTTTTTTATAGATATCACGGTCCAATTTTTAACTAAAGTCCTTTGATTTTAACGCCATCTACGTGTTAATTTAATGTAACCGATTAAAAGTATTCTAAGACTGAGCACATTTTCATTTTAAAAATTAAGAATATGTATGAATTATTTAATTATAAATCAAACATGTTTTAAAGGACACTAATCACCCCGCAAAATAGGATTTTACAATTTCCAAAATTATGCAACTTAACTACTAAAAGGCTCAGATTTAATACTATGTACCTATAATGGTGTGAGGGAAGAAGCAAAATAATTTATACTTCTTCATATATTTCCATTAATTTCGATTTCAGCTCACCATATCTTTGTATTGTGAATATTATAAAATTATTAGAATACGAGAAGAGTTTAGACTCTTATTAAGCCTTACCACGCAAAATATATTTGTTTGGTTGACTAAAAAATCCCGGAAAATAATTGTACGGACTGTAAAATTCCGGAATGTAAATTTACGGACAAACGGTGGATTGCAAAAATCCGAAATATGACACTGTAAATGTCCGGAATGTAATCGGCCAGAAAAATAAATGCCTAAACCAAAAAGTCTCGGGCTAAAATAATGCAGAATAAAAAAATTTGGTCACTGTAATGTCCCGGATAAGAAATTTCCGGAATGTCACTCACAAAAATAATTCGGAATTTCAAAAACACTGTTAATATTGATAATCTTAACACCAGGTCTGAGTATGTCTATCCATCTCTGAAAACAGTCATAAAATCATGAACCTTCTTTTAATCTTAATTCTTAATTCGTTTATTCTGTTTGTACTGTGTATGCAAAACAACGCCATCTATTAGTGTATTTTTGTTAAATTCCGGAATATTCTTGTTCGAGACAACACAGTGTATTTTTGTATTCCGGATTATTAGTCCAAGACTTTCTCGTTTAGGCATTTAAGTTTTCCAGATTTTTACCAGTTTCTACATCATATAAATCAGTTTCATTCATATTATTTTCAGTCTCATTAACAGTTTCCAATATTATAATACTAGTCTTATATACAGTTTTGCTAATTACATTTTTATCAATTGTACATTCAGTCTCATTAACAGTTTCAACCATATTTTCAGTCTCGTTTATAGTTTTACTTAATAACGTCTTCTTCCTTTATAGGAAGACTAAGTGTAGAATTATTTAAAAACCAAGTTTTTATTCGGTTTTCTTCTACATCATTCAAAAATTAACAAGAGCCCATTTTTCTAACTAAAGGAGTTTTTCTTGATAATTTCATTGATAAAGTTGACTTGGGTATGTTATATTTAATTGAAGTGTTATTTAATAATATTGATAATGATTCGGAAGTAACATCTTCTAGAGCTAATCGCTTATGTTCTTCAGAGTATTTAAATTTGTTGGCCTGAAAGAAAAAAACCATAAATAGGTATACAGTGAAACCTCTGAATAGCGGACACTCTCGGTCCCCGAAATTTTGTCTGCTATTTAGAGGAAAACATGTGTGTGTGAAAATGTTCCCGTCCCCGAAAAAACGTCCGCTATTTAGAGGTGTCCGTTAAGGGAGGTTTCACTGTATATATATTTGAATACCTTTGGTAATATTTTAATAAATTATATTTAATTCTATATAATATTTTTTGTAAGCCCATGTTTTATAGATATATTATTGTTTTATAACATAATAATCATTTAATTTAGTTAGCCTTTTTAGAATATAAGGAACTGTATAAAAGGAACTTGTTTGATACACCAACTTGATAGACTTTCCTTTCAAAAAAGGAACTAAACGATAAGAATCGGAGGAAATTTGTTTTTAAAAAATTGTTCATAGACAGAAAATAGTAACACACATCATAGTAAAACCAATTAATCCCTCGATATGTTCTGAATCTAAAATTAATATACTAAATTGTCTAATTATGTTTAGTTTATTTTTATCAAATATTTTACTATAGGTACCTACTATATTTTAATATTTGATTATATACTAATTTGTAAAATAGTATTTTAACTTATATTATTATCATTGTGTAACTTATGTATGTTATTAATTTTTATAATATATTTAAATAAATTTGTAAAAAAATAAATAAAAATGGTTGTTGTTGTAGAGTAACAGTGGGTGGTGTGGAAGGCTTGCTCCCCATAAGTTTCTAAACATTTTATTTAGGGAGGTAGTAGTTTTTATTAACTATTTTTGAAAGTTTACCGGATTATTTTATTATGCGCCCCTGATAAAGACCTATAATGAAGTATACACTAATTTATTGTACTATTGTATAAACACTATTGTAAGAATATTGTATTGGACTATAGTTACGAAATTATGTCCTACAGATGGCGCTATTCAATCATTCATTAAAATTAATGAATTAAGTAATATAATTGGAATAAAAACATTAAATTTAATTAGATTAGATGAATTATTTGATTTTTTTTTTCATAGAGTGTATATTTATATCGCAATAATACGGTTCGACCAATTATAATTTTTTATTGAAATTATAAATAAACGTATTTTATACCTTTTCTGGTATATTGGCTGAGGAAATTGATTTTAGGATAAATACGAGCAATTCGAATGTTATTATTAAGGATCATACTTCGCAGGATCATTTCTGTAGTGTGCATCGTCCTTTCCAGGTGCATATCTGGAGTTGTCATCAGCCACGACAACATTATTTGTAATAATTCTTGAAAAATAAATAACACCTATAAATGTTATTATAAGTACATACTAAAGAGTTCAATGTGTTTAGAAATTATTAATATGTTGTAATAATAATTAAATAGGTACCTAGGTATTAATCATTTCTTTAATGTTACATGTTAATTTATTATATTTTTTATTATCTATCTCAAGGAAACTTATTTTCACCTTGTGTTTGTTTTTTTGCTAGGTATCTCGAATTTTAATATGGTTATTTTTTTTTCCTCCTTAACCTTAATATTATTGAAAATGTATACTAACACGTATTAAAAAAAAAAATAAAAAAATAAAAATAGGAACTACTGCCGGTGCAGTGAATCGGTATTCGAAAATGTCCGATGCTGATTTCTGAAGTCTCCTATATAACTCCTAATGGAAAGCGGCCATCTCTTTAATCTTCCTCTTATCCGACAGTTGTTTAAAATTCTATGATTATGCTCGATGTGCCCCCACGACGGTTCTGGTTCTGGTGGGTACAATATATTTCAGTTTTGACGTGAAAATTATGTATCCTCATTTTGATTCAATTTGTATGGTGCCTATATCCAGGTAGGTACTAGGTACAGATTCATTATTAATCATAATTAGACGTTTTAGACCAAACAGCCAAGTATACATAGCGCAAACTATAGAAATTTAACACTATTACCGTCAATGACCCTACCTATAGGTATTTAGTCTTTGGTCGTTTTAACCGCAGTCAGCATAGATAATCTTTGGAGGTTAAAAACTGTTTCGGCTGTTCAAGTAACGCATCTTGAAAGTGTCATCATTGGGTTGGGTTAGGTTTCTAACCTTACATATACTTATTGTTTCTGTGATATAGAATGTAAATTTTCTTCTAAAAGTAAAAAAAAATGGTAACGTACGGATTAATGTATAAAGTTGATAAAAAAAAAACCATGTTTTAAGTATTGATAATATTAACACGAAGAAATGGAATGGTATTTCCAAGGCCGAAATTTCATCCACTGATTATTTCAGTTTATAATTAATATTAGGTTTTTAAATGGCAATTGTCCAATAAACAGCGTCTTTTAGCTTATAAAATATAAAATGGAGAAGATTTAAGAAAAATATATAAATTCAACATAGTTTACCGCGAAAATAATTTAAAGAAAAACGTAACTGTGTAATGTAATTTTAGGTTATGTTTGCTTACTCTACATAAAAAAAAAAGTAAACATTGATATCTGATAATTTTTGTTTATTTTTACTTTTATATTCAATTAAACACCTCAATTATTATTTTAAATTCATTAAAAAAAATAAAGTAACAATAAATTAATAACAAGTATATTTCTATTGTATATTGAATTGCAATACATATACTGTAAAATTAAAACTATCTTTAATTGTACGTTTATAATTTTTTTACTTTCTGTAATCTGTTAATATATATATGTGTGCGTATGTATGTGTGTGTGTGTGTGTGTGTGCGTTTGTGTGTGTGTATTTGATTAGGCCAGTTGAATCATACTTTGTTTTTACGATCAGTACACATTGAATACTTTTTTCTTTTCAGAATTCATACTATGGCCGCCATAAGAAAGAAACTTGTCATCGTCGGTGATGGTGCTTGTGGAAAAACTTGCCTGTTAATTGTGTTTTCCAAAGATCAGTTTCCAGAAGTATACGTTCCTACAGTGTTTGAGAACTATGTAGCTGATATTGAAGTGGATAGTAAACAAGTAGAGTTAGCGTTGTGGGATACAGCAGGTCAAGAAGATTACGATAGACTAAGACCGCTGTCTTATCCCGATACAGATGTGATTCTTATGTGTTTCTCCATAGACTCACCAGATTCATTGGAAAATATACCAGAAAAATGGACACCAGAGGTGAAACATTTCTGTCCAAATGTACCGATTATATTGGTTGGCAACAAAAAAGACTTGCGCAATGATCCAAACACAATTCGTGAGCTAAGCAAGATGAAACAAGAACCGGTGAGACCAGAAGAAGGGCGAGCAATGGCAGAAAAGATTAATGCGTTTGCTTATTTGGAATGTTCAGCTAAAAGTAAGGAGGGCGTTCGTGAAGTGTTTGAAACTTCGACTAGAGCAGCTTTACAGGTTAAAAAGAGAAAGAAGGGGCTATGCCGTTTACTTTAAATTATTGAAAAACAAATATGAAAATTGCCATCGTTTTTTTTTTTTAAATTTAAGTTTTATTCTCGCGTATCAGTCTTCCGGGTTTAGCCAAGAATATTTCAATAAAAAACTTTATTTTTGAAGTTAACTATCAGGTTTTAATTTTGTTTTTATATAGAAAGGGGATAAGGTTACATTAAAATTGTCAATTTTAGTTCTAATATTTAAAAATGTTTACTTTTTTAAAGTTATAATATATTTATATATATTTTTGATCAGCTCTTACGACCTAGAATAACTTTTCATGACTGTTATATAAATTGAACACTATTTTATATTTCTTATTATTGAGTTGACTCAAAATAAAAAAATATTACCTTACAATCATAATAATATAGTGTAGGTAATTTTTAACAAAATTCATTTTTTTTGTGTTAGGTTAATAAATATTAGGGTCCAAAATCAGTTATAATATTTAAAAGAGTGACCTTAGATATTCTTTATTCTGATCACATCTTTATTATTTTTATATCTATTGTGAAGAATAAGAAGAGACGTATATTTTTTTGGATGTGTGGTTATTAACTTTAATGCTGTGTGATATAACTATTAACACTAATGTGGGATTTGTCATTTTTAAAAAATAAAATGTCAGTATTATAATATTTCTGCAATACTTGGTTTTTTTAAATATATTTACTGCCTGAAAAAAAAAAATATTTCATAATAAATATGTTATTAATACATATCAAATGATGCTTAAGAAATGTAGTTTAAAATTCTAATGCTTTATTGGTAATATTTTTTATAAATTTAAAATTTCCAAACAAATTAATATATTTATAAAAATTAACATACTGGAGTATATATTTTAAAATTGAATAAGAATAATTATAGTTCATTATGCTAATATTGATTAGCTTAAATATGCCACTCAATTTTATATTTAGTTTTCAATTATTATTCTTATATTATTTTCTTTAACATATAAATATTTAACTAGTAATTCATGATAATGAAAAGTATTGTTATTAAAAATGTTGTTAAGTACTTTTCCCCTGAACTGTTGGAATTACTTTCATTATGTGTTTTTCAAGTGTTAGTTATTGATAAACTAGTCTAAAGTATCATAAAACATTAACATTATTTCCCAAAGAAACACATTTTATCATTTATTTATGTCTAATACATTTTTATATTGGGGTATTTGTGATCAAATTGAATAAAATTTATATTTTGAACAATAATTACAGTTTCTGTAAATATTTTCTTATATAGTAAAATTGTTAAAACCAAAAGGTATCAATATAATCATATACATATAGTACTTTATGAATTACCATAGCTTATCCCCTAATTATGAGTTTTTACAATATATTTATTTTTATACAATTATTACTCAATATTAATTATTATTATTTTATATATATATATATATATGTATGTATGTATGTATAATGTATTGAATTTTTGAAAATATTTATGTTAATATTATGTCATAGTTTGACATATTATCTATTTAGCACAAACTTAACCAGTGGCACAGACACTAGCACAATACAATATATATTTTGTTATTATTTATTTTTTGATAAATTAACAATTAGTTATTATAACAACCTTTTGTTTACTTAAATTACCTAATAAATAATAATATGAAAAAAAAAAGAAATAAGCAGATGATATAATAATTATATTATTTTTAACAGCTATATTTGCTTTTAGTGGTATGTTATTTATTATTTTATTTTTTACTTTTTATGAAATCATACATTTTTTATTTATTATTATTATTATTATTATTATTATTATTATTATTATTTCTATTATTATTATTATTTTATTTAAATATGTTCTTATAAATAATTTTTGTGTATTTCGATCAAATAAATATGCATTTATTTTGTAAATTAACGAAAGCTTGTTATAACTTAATTTATTTTTTATGGTTTCATTAATAATTCAAAGACTACACTTAAAACATAATGAATAGCTTATGCGTATTATACTTGTTTACTTATTATTATTTTTTATACTCTCAATAAAACGTCATGCAATGAAGTCTATTCTATTGTTATAAAATTGTTTAGTGCTTTTGTTAACTACCTAATATCTTCAAAAAATTAGTAATAATCGTTTAAAACGGATATATTGATTTATATTATGTTTTTGATTTTTACTTTTCTTTTAGCCAGACCATATCTATAATTTAAATTTTTATTATATATAATTTCAACAAGTCTTGTGTACTGTGTAGATAAGTAGATAATATTTTAATTATCAATTCACTAAAAATCGGTGCAGGTTGTATCATTGTAATGATAGTATTCTTAATAATTTATATAATTATATTAAATATTTATATAGTTAAACAAATATTTCAACAATAGGTACCTCATAATGTTGAACAAAACTGTTTCTAGTATTTCTTAAATACCAATAGTTATTTTATTTGTATCTGTTATATTGGGACTTGGAAGTTATTCTCTAGAAATCAGTTTACACCCTCTCATGACAGCCTATTGATTTCCATTCATTACTTAAAAAATCACCTTGATATGGTATTCAAAAAAGAAAAAAAAAATTAAAATAATTAGGAAATCTTTTCTCATATTATTTTAAAGTATTCCTCCTATGATTTTTCTTTTAATTAAAATTATACCATCAATTTCCAGTGTCTGATATATACTTTTGACACTATACATTTTTAAATTGGGTCGAACATATAGAATAAAAATGATTTGCTAATCTCCAAAGATAAATCTTTATACTCACTTCTAGAAAAGTATTTTAAACTTAACCTGAAAATTACAGACCAAAGGCTGAAATACTGCTACTCAGTCCATTTATTTATTTATATTTTAGTCTTATTTATGGACATGAATCCAATGTACAATACAAATAATATGATAAGTGATAACAAGTATTTTTGTGTAATTACTTATGTGTCAATCTTAGCATTGAATAATTATACCCTACAATTGAAATTAAAAAACAGTTTCAGAAGTAGCAATGTCTTTGTCAATTGCCTTGTATATCATCTGAATCCTTTAATTTTTGTCCTCAGCTTAGATAGTATCCTGGTAACTTCTCAGAAAAGGTTTAAAAATAGCTGGTGTTGAGAATTCAAGATAATTCATAAAATAAATAATTTAATTTAAAAAAAAAAAGAAATAGCATATCAAGTTATGGGGGTACTCTTTCAACCTAATGTTTCATATCCATATTACACCTATGCAACATGTAATTATTAATGTAATTGAATAATTTACAGATAATATATATTCAAATAAATGTGCACAAAAACTACATTTTAAAATAGTTATCATAATATATTTGAAGGTAATATTTTTAATATAGAAGAATTAATTTAAACACAAAGTATTGAAAAAAAAGACAATTCAAATGTGCAATAATTTTTGTTGCATTAAATGTTAAATAAAGTATAATATGTATTTTGTTTATTTGCACAAAATATGTTTGATCACAACAATATTACTATCTAATATAATTAAAATAATTATTTATATAATGTTTTCTTCACAGTACTAATTTATTTAATTAAATATTTGTATTGAATAAGTACTAATGTATTAAGTAAATAATATATATGATATATTTGTTACTTTAATCATAATATATTTTTATTTTTGTTAAGTTAGTCAAATTTAATTTTGATATAAGTACAGTAAAAACTGTCTAAAAAAGAACAGCAAGGTACCAAAGAAAATGTATGTGTTTTAGAAGTTTAAATTAAGATAAGATTTAAATTTTTCGTTTTATCAAGTCTATCATTGACATGTCTTACTGCACTTATGATAAAGTATTGATATTTAAAAGACAAATATGAGAACGAACATATTAATTGCAATTATAAATATTATACAATAACTTGTTTTGATTAATTTATTCTAATACATTCAAATTATTAACAATAAATAAAAGGTTGAAAGAAAATCTATAACAACATAAATACAATAAATATTTTAAAATTCTAGTTTGACAGAAAATAGTAAGAACACACACTCAAACATAATAGGAAGCAGAAAAAAATTTTCCTTAAAAGAGTTTATAATACAGTGATGTTATACATAAAACTTGAACTTAAATATCAGAATAACATATTCATTTAAACATTTTAATTGCATGCAACATTCCAATGTTAATCAATTCAAGTTCTACGTTGTCATGTTTGGTTTTAACTAAAATTGTTAACAATCAATCTTTGCATAATTGTACAGACCATCCTAGTGCTAACCGATCGAATCCGCAAGAAAATAAATTTGCAATAGGATTGTCTTCACTCCATGCAACGGCAGTAACCATACGTCTGTGACTCTAAAAATTAACACAAATAAATATTTGAAATTTTCATATTTGTATATAAAGACTAAAAAAAAAACATACTTTGCACGATTGGGTGGGATACTGTTATAGGTGTGAAGTTGTAAAGGTAGGATATAAGGGGAATTTAATCTATATCTATATGGAACGATAAACCATTCCTAATAAAAAAATTTGAGTAAAGTTTCTTTTACACATGAATGTAAATTAAACCGTTTTCTTGGATATAAAAACAAAAAAAAAAAATGCTTAGAAAATCAAAAACATCTCCTTAAAGTACCACCTAGATAAAATTTCCTTTCAGAAAAAAGTATTACATCAGGATATTTCATTTGAAACGTACATTGAGTTTCATATATTAAAATAAATCATTGATTACTGAAGAAATTAAGTATATTTTGCTTACATTTCTTGCTGTTCTGGGTATTCTGGTAACTCGTTGGCCAGTAATATCGTATAACATAACTTGTCGATTGTCATGAGGAATAGCAATAACTCCGTTAGAAGCAATGGCGAAACGATTTACACCAGAGTCAGTCCTAATGGTAGTAATTGGAGAACGCATATTACGTAATTCCCATACTTTTATGGATCGGTCATCTGACCCAGACACCAATTTATCTTCACCCCCAAGTCCAGCAGATGTGAAAACCGCACAAGTTACCGTACTACAAAAATGTAAATGTTACTATACATTGTTTTAAAAATATTAGTCTGAAACTCACTCTGTATGACCCTGGAAAACGGAAACTGAATTTATAGCTTCACGGAAATCCCATAATCTAAATGTTGTATCTCTAGATGCAGTAACAACCAACTTTTGGGAATTGTGAGAAGAAGCATAAGTCAACTCTTCATCATGCCCTATTTGAATAAAATAATTATACTTTTATAATTCATACAGGTGTAATATTAACTTTCTATTCTTAACATTAATTTTTTATTGTTTAAAATTTAGTGTTTTTATATTACAAATGGTACTGTACTTTAACCAGAATAAGAACACACAGGTTCGCCCATGTACGATTATAATAAATTATACAAATACCCCCACTACTGAATTGCCGTACAGGCATGAACTTGAACGTCATATCATTTGTTTTGCACAAGGTGCAATCTTATTCTAATTAAAGTATAGTTATTCATTTTTTTTTTAAAAATTAGCATAATATGTGATATAACAACAGATTATTATTTCAAGTTGGGATGGAATAAAAAAACTGAATGGTTAATTTTATTTTGAATAAAGTTTACCTTATAAAAAAATAAAGCTTATAAGTACATATTTTTAAAGTGTCAAATGAAAATCGTCAACTGATTATTAATTTTGTTGATATTTAACTTCTTAATCCTGGACTCACATGACTGGTGAGTTTGGTGTTAATGTCCCAGTCGTATATAAATATATATTGTTGGTAAACTTGACGCAAGTCAAATAACCATCAATGTTCAGATTACATTTTTTTTGCTTGTGACTGACTATTTGACTGGCCATATTAAGTAATTAATTGTATAATAAATATGATGAACTTATAAATAATAATAATTAATGCATAACTTATATGTTTAGTATGACCTAACCAGTCATGTAGGAGAAAAGACCAATATTGGTTACATAGAAATTCCAACTCTTGCTTCTAGATGTGACCTAGCGGCTATTTCCCTTGTTTATAAATTAGTTAATGGTTTAATTGATGAGCCTGACTTATTAATTAATTTCCCTTTTAACATCCCAGCTTACAGTAATCATTCAACTTCTCTTTTAAGTGTCATTAAGACATTTAAGTGTCTGCATATTTTAGATATTTGCATGAAAAATACTATAGTAGTTATGTACACATCAATTGAAAAAGAAAAGAAAAGAATTTAAATAAAACTGTTATTGAAGCATAAAATGGGGTGAGCAAAGATTTTATCTAAATGTTTAAAAAAATCATTTAATAAATTAGTTTTAAAGACATATTTTTTATTAAAAACAATTCAATACAATTATTAATTAAGCGGTGAAAGGTACTTAAATCTTACCGGTAAGTGAATTTAGCAGTTCACTAGTTTCGATATCATACAAATTAGCAGTCCTGTCCCATGACGCAGTAATAATTTGATCACCGCCTAATAACCAATCACTAGCCATTACTGGTCCATTATGTCCTGAAAATGTACATGAAGGTGTACGTAGTATCGGAACAGCCCGGTCTTCCTCTGTTTCGGTATCATCAGACTCTCGTTCCCTCTAAAAAAAAATATAAATCTTTATGTAACTAAAATAATTAATATAAACTGAATACCTAGCTAAAATATTTTAATGTTTATGGTCACTTTAAAATTACAGTAGAAATCATGCAATAAAAAAGTAGTATAAAATAAATATAGGTACAATGCACTCACTAAATTATCTAAATTAACAGCAGCTTGCCAAATATGAGTTGTTTGATCACCACTTGATGTGAGGGCCAAATCTTTGTTTGGATGGAATTTTATGGAGTTAATAGATCCCATATGGCCAGTGTATTGTAAAAGTGGCGTACCAGTTTCAATACACCATATTCTTGCTGTATGATCTAATAAATGAAATGACATTAATTATAAGAAAGAAATCAATAAATTTAAGGTCATTTCATACCCGCTGAACAAGATCCAATTACAGGTTGCCCTGTATGAGGTAACGCTACATCCCACAAACCATCCCTGTGTCCACTATACTCTTTCACAAACTGGCAATTAGCTACTGACGGGCTTTTAAAGCTAGAAACTATTTTACTAGTTTGTGCTTTTAATTTTTCAGCAGTTTTAAGTTTTTGGCCTGTGGGCGGTTTTTGTTTTGAATTTACTTGAAATTGTTCGGTTGTAAAATACTTTTCATTGATTTTTTCATTAAGTGAATCAATTTTTTCCTGTAGCACAACATTTTCCTGGCATACAGATTCAAATTCCTTTTCAATAAGACCAAAGAGATGTGTTAGTCGTTTCCGTACTACGGGAGGAATGTCAACTTCAGTTTTGTACATTTCAGCGATTTATCAGAGATACTGTGTTAAGAATAGTATTAAGTTTGGCACATTAGTTAAAATTAATAGTTACTGGTAACTCAACAAATAAGTTAAATAAATAATATTAAGAATAGCCATTTGGCCATAGGAAAAAAAAATAATTTGAATTCTATTGTTTCTTATCAGTAGCATTAACTGTAGAGCAAAATAATCAATATTATGGGTTATCAAAATTGGCAGCAGTGGTGTAATGTCCTCCACTGCTGACTGCTGTAGTAAAAAACAAGGGGTTATTAAAATACTAATATTGTAATCAATACAATGACAGTTTTATATATTTTTTATTATTCAAATAATTGCATTATAAATAACTATAGAATACAAATTCAAAAGAAATCTTTTGATAAATCCACATTAGAATAATTTTTGTTTAAAACATCCGAGTATGGCAGATTTGGATAATGGGCAGGTATTCGCTGTGGTATCTTTACAGGAGGCATGACTGCTGGATTGAATGCTACATTACTTGGATCGTACTCTTTAAACCATTCACTGGGCGTCCTAAAAATAAAAACATTTTTAATACTTTTGGCAAAAAGTACATTTTTTTTTTTTTATAAAAACAAAATTCATGATGACAATAAATATTTTACTCAGTTAAACAGATGTTATTTAACTTATATAGTCAAGTGAATGGTAATAAAACTAATAAAATCATTACAAATTTACTGGAAAAAACCTTTCAAATTTTAGCATGATGGTATTAGGATATATTAAAAACAATATTTTATAATTTATTAATAATTATATTATTTATTATAAAAAAGCTGTAAAATATGTAAAAAAAAAAAAATATACTACCTAAACAAGTAGGATGTTCAACAATTTTTATATTTAAATATCATCATTGATTATACACATCATAATCATTATATTATATACTATATGATTAAGGATATCATTAATTATCTAATTAAAAAAATATCAGACAAATATTTATTATCAAATTTGTTATATAGTTATAAAAAACTTACATTTTTGCCAATTCCGGTTTTAAACTTGTATGACTATTTTGTGCATTTGTCAAAGTAGCTACTGTTTTCGATAATTTACATACTTCAGGATGATAATGTCTCTAAAATAAAATTATACTTATGATATAAAAGTGAGTGAAGTACCTATAAACTGAAATTATTAAGTATCAACAGTTAGAAACAATTTTTAGTTACGGCACTATGGCAGACACCAGACCTATAAAAAACCGAGCATAGTAATATAAAAAGTATTTAGACTAATAAATTAATAACTTGTAATGCAGGAAGTTCCCATAGTGCTGTACTACCAGCATTGCTATGTTCAGGTTCTTGTAACTCAGCATCATAAATTCCTTGTCCGTATGTTGGGTCAACATCTAATAAAGATTCAGTAGCCTTATTGGTCTAAAAATAACAATTGATTAAAAGCAATAATTTAATATTATTTTTATAAATATTTAAATTACTTGAATTATAGATCGAAGAGCAGCTAAAATACCAAGTGTTGAGTTATGTAGAGTTTGGAGAGTTAAGGAAGACATTCGTTTTACAAATGACAGGGTAGAATTAGCTGTAACTTTTTTGCGTCCTACCATGAACAATGCTTCAATTGTACGAAGGAATGTTTCTAAATTATCATGGTGTTTACCTAAAAATAATACAAAGCGATTGATAAAAATGAAAGTCTCAATTTAAATTTGATTGAATTACTTCTTGTACTTACAACAATCTAGTTCTGGAATAACTCTGTATAAATGACTATAAAAATGAACAGGATCAATGTTAATTACAGACCCTTGTCCAGATAAAATTACAAAAATTGTTTTTATACAACACAGTTGTTCATGGACATTTAATTGATGTTTTTTTAAAACTGAATCTAAAACTGTCAGGATATCATGATAAAATTCTAAATTAATTGAATGGCTGTATCTATGAAAAAAATAAAAAAAGGCAATATTAGACATTTATTTATTATCTATAAATCCCGTAAAAACTAAATTAATTTATAAATTATAATTATTGGATTTTGTTAGGATACTCAGTCTCATGAGAGAAGATACACGGTTTGCGCATCAGTGGGAACATGGAGGATAAATTTCTTCCACTCCTTACTAATCACAGTAAGGTAATACACTATATCGTAATCAACAAAAATGGTGCAAGATGCACAGTGATGGATGAAAAAACGTATACCTTCTCTCATGAGATGGAATATACATAACATTATAGTAATTATTTAATGTGGAATATTAATTATAGTGGAAAATGTAAACTGTCAGACATATTTTTTTCAGAAAATTTAAATTACATGGAAATCTCAAATTGGATAAAATAAAAAATGGAAAATTTGATAATTGTATGTACCTAAATTTACCCCTTCCAAAAAATAAAAATAGCAATAAACATTTTTCAGTTTAAAAAAATTGATTATCTATTTAAAGCATTAAAATAAATTTGCATAAATCAAGTTTTCAGATCTTTCTAGTATAGACATCAATGATGAATTATTAATAATACTTACTTTGCTAATCCTTCAAGGCAAACAGATAATAATTTAGAACGTGGAGCAGTTTTTAGTATTCTGAAGTATATCAGAAATACAAGTTTAGTAATTTCAGTTATATTATTCATATGACTTTTAACATTTTCTTCAGCCTTTGTCTCCAGCATTTCTTTATCCAATTTGTCTAGCATTTTACTTCGCTAAAAATATTTTAATGATCAATTATTAATGGTAAATGTATTAGTACCCAAATGGTCATAATTCTATAAATTCTTACTTTACGTTCTTTTTTTGACATGGCTAACAATTTTTGTTTTCTTGTCATAAATTTTTTTGATTTCAAAATTTCTTCTTTTTCTTTATCAAGATTAACATTTCTAATTGGCAATGCGAGTAAAACAGATAAAAGTTCACTGTGAACACAATGACTTCTGGTTTTAACAAGTTGATTTATGCGACGTACAATCTATTAGCATAAATATTTTATAATACTCTATATGGGTTTTAATAAAAACATTCTATTTTAGGCTTTAGCCAAAAATAAATCTTATTGCTTACCACTAATGATATAGTTCCTTTCTTGTCTTCCTTAAAAATTTTAATAAATGTCTCTTCAATTTTTTTTCTAATATTACCATTTTTATTGTCCAAATAAAGAGTCAACAAATGTCCAATGTTGACGGCAAAATTAAAATATGAATGGGAAATTAATAATTCACACATACAATTAATTGCAACTTCAGCCAAACCTGTATGAACCTAAAATGTTTATTCAATTAAACATTTTAAATTCTTAATATTTATCTATTTTATTTTTCTAATTATATATTTCTTCAACACTTTATTTTTAGTTGAATACCATTTCAAGTTATAGTCAAGAAATTTACTGGAATGAACCAGTTAATTTAGCTTAAATATTAAACTGGTTTATTTTAAGAAACTAATGTAAATATATAAAAAAAAACTACTTATCTACTTATGTGTGTAAATTTTCATATTTTTCTATGCAATAGCGCACAAACACATACTTCATAGTATAAATTTAGATAAATAAAACTTACATTTGTTATAACTCGTGTATCTCCTTTCTTTCTGTGAAGGATACTGGCCATTTTTTCTAAATTTGTTAAATAAATTTTATAACCTTTGAGTAATTGTGCTTCATAACCAATTAATTCTTTAGTAACCAATTTCACTAAAACATGTATAAAATTAAGATTAATCAATTTTTCTATTTTCATACAACTGAAAATAAGGAAATTAAAATTAATGTTCATAGAATAAATAATTAAAATATCAAAAATATTAATAAGACTTACATTTTACTCCATCAAATTGATTCAATTTTAATTGATAACTTGGTAAAAGATCTTTAAAAACTTCTAAAAGTGTAAGAGTTACTAATTTTTTTATTGTGATTTGTAACTCTGGATCGCGTTTCTCCATTATTTCAAGAAGATGAACTATGTTTCCAATCTAAAATTTCAAGTCTTATTTACTGACAAATAAAAACAAAATCATCAATTATATTTTATGTGATCAACCTAAGTACGTTATATTTAACACAGTATCATCCAATTTAGCTAACAGGAAAATATTAAACATTTTTAAATATATTTAAATGTTAAACAAGCAATGAATACACAAATAGAATAATATCATATCAAAAAACTGTCAACGGTATTAAAATATATAGCTAAATAAAATATAAAATGTAAGTTCAAATATTAAACATAAAATCAAATTCAAAATAACATATTTATGCTACATTGTCAACTTATATAGGTTAATAATAAACTATAAAAGAAATATTTAAAAAAAAGTTAAGCACAATTGACAAAAACAAACAAATTTACTTTTAGATCAGGATTTTCTAACAATGTGCTAGCTAAAAGTCCAATACGCTGTTTATAACTTTGAATTGTATTTTCTCGTTTGGCATATAATTTTGCAACACTTATTGGTTCACCTTTATTGATTGATATTTCTTTTTCGGGTTCATTTGTATCCAACAAAACATACTCATTATTTTCTTCATCATTTTCATCAGTTTTTTTTTTTTTGGGCTGAGACTTCTCTAGTTCTGTAATAATAATAATAAAAAAAAAAACATTTCTGGTTACATGTATGTGGTAAGGTATGTGAAACAACTCAAAGTGTGACATATTTAATATCACACTAAACACATTTAGTGTATTTATCAAGATAAATGCAGTAAGAAATTATTTAACTTGCCATTAAAATGACTATTTTTTTTTTGGAGTTCATAAAAAAAAGATTTTCATTTTTTGTTTAAAGGTAAATGTAATACAATGTTTGATATTTTCTACTAAAACTTTTGTTAATGTACATTATTTTTGATTATATATTACCATTGATTATGATTGATTATCAATGATATTACTGATGAGGCGTTTACATAAGATAATTAACTAATTTAAGTGGCAACCAAATATCCATAATATTGTGGCAAGCAAATCTTTTTTTATGCAACAGGTAAATAAAAAGGCAAAATACAAAATATTTTATGATTTACAGCATTATATTATAATGTTTTATAAGACAAATGTGTCTTATTACCTATTTCATCTTTTTCATAAGTGTATCGTCTTAAAATCCCATCTTTGGTTTTGATTGGCAATAAAGGTCGTTTTATAGCTACATCATCTTCTTTCATCATCATTGAAGTGCTTTCATATTCATTTTCAAGTTTATCATCATCATCATAAGGTTTTTCTTTAGATCTTTTATTTTTCGATTCCTATAAGTTAAAAATGATTTATAGATATGTAAGATGTGATAAATTAATAAATTAATAAGTTTACATTATTAATTTGTATACGATTATACAGCTTATAATTTTGATTGCCAATGTTCTTTTTCAGAAAATCCAAGTCTTCCTGGTCCACCATTTCTAACATTTCATCTCCAATATCACTATTTTCTGCTGCAGCTTCTTCTTCTTCGTCTTCTTCAATCGGGTCATCTCTTCTCTGTAGTGGAGGTTGAGGTACATTATATGCTTTAGACTTGTGCTTTTTAGTTTTGATATGTCCTTTATTTCGCAAATGATTACGTCTTTTAACATCGCTTGTTTTTCCACCTTTGGATATTTTCTTATAAATTAATAAACATATATGTTAGAAAAATTGATATATATGTTTTACCTATATTTAATTAATAACTTAATTACATTCAAATAATTAGTTACTTACTTTAGATAATGTTTTGGCTCTAACCATTATTGTCTACAATTTTACCTATAATTAATAAAAATAAATAACAATAAAATAATAATTTAGGTACCTAATTGAAACTATATTATATTACACGCTGACGATTTATATTATCATTTTAAATATATGAACAAATGGATGTGATTATAATTTGTTTTTGCATAACCTCAAACTTCATTTCATCCCTCCCAAAGATAAAATTATTTTAGACACGGATTATTACCGTGGATAAACGTGATAATTTTATATTTGACATTTGACAGCCATTTTATTTTATTTCATTAAATACCAAATTTGATATTAAATAATAAATACTAAAAATTGTAAAGTACTACATTATTTTACTACTATAGTTATATCGTAGGTAAATGACCAATGATAAGCTAATTTTGAAAATTAATTTAGTAAAATTAAAAAAATTGTTACTTAATTATTTACTCTTATATTTTGAGACAATAAGTACCTACAATAATGTTGATAAGCTATGTTCATAGACGTCAAATCTTCATATTTAGGTACCTAGGAAAAAAAGGCAATAAAGACAAAATATAGAAAATATATTTGTTTTCAATTAATACTTTTAAGAATATTAATAGGTCCTACCCTTATATTTTATAGGTATCTACCTATATAATAATATAGTAGGCATAATATTAAAATCAGAAAATATTTATGATTTTAATAATATAGAAAACCAAAATTATTTATTAAGTACCTATCTAGTAATTCTACTAAATCAATTGAAAAATGTTTAAATACAATTTTGCACATTATAAGATTTTGATTTAAATCATAATTTTTTTTAAATAATGTTTAAATTAAATTAATTAAACTAATTTTTCATTTTGTTAAAAGATTAACTTTAAATAATTTTTTTTTTAAATTAATACCTATCATTATTGTTTTTTTTTTATCTGTTACTGTACCTAATAGTTACTATCTATCTACTATGTTTTCACTATGGACTTTTTTTAAATACTGTAGATAAGTTAATATACAGGTACTCATAGATTTAGATATCTATAAATATTCTATGTGCAAGAATTCACCTTACTACTATAGTACTATATTGGGAACATACTAATTTGTTGATTTTTCTGACAAAATAGATATAATAAAATCTATACTCGTCTGATCGTGATGAAACTGAGAATAGACCTGAATACTTACTAACCTACACATATTCTAAGAGATTAAAGTTCACCGGGAAAATAATTTGCGACTTTTGCAAAGTTCACCGATTTCTAGTTAACCAGCTATACATACCAATTAGAGTAATGTGGATTTCAGATTACTCTGCTTAAGTATTAGAGGCATAGATAAATACCAATATACATATTATACCCTCACAGGTTTAAAATACGTCCATCAAATACTTCATGACATGTAAATTTTAAATTGGATTAACTGTCGTACTTTTATCTGGTAACAAGTGGAGTAAGACAATAACAATATACTTTTTTTAATGTTTGGTTAATATTTTTAAATCTATAAAAATGAATCAGTAGTTAAAAAAAGAAAAATTAAAAATCAAAATGTTACTTATGTGAATGTGCATTCGAAAAATTTTCAATTAATCATTTTCCCTCTTTAGAATCTTTAATCTTTAATTTTGTTCAATGAAATAATTTCCATGGCAAAAAATGAAAAAACGAGATAAAACTTACAATAGGTACGCTGTACGTGAACTTGGATTTAGATTAGTACCGCTATAATATTTAATATGAGCTAGTACCTTCTATTATAATTTTTATAGACCTACAAAATATACAAACTATTAGTTATAAGTATATTAATGCTTTTTGTATTTTTAGTTTTCTATAATGTTAAAAGCATATAAAAAATATTACCTACTTACTATGTATATTAATATTATTATATATCTATTTAAGGGTAGGGCTTAATAATGACTTTATTATTTATTGAAAAAAGTATCTTATAATAAATATGAAAATACTTGTAAATTTATTCAATGATTATGATAATTGTATAAGTATTGTAGTATAATACCACATACAATATCTAGCTCATAGACAATTAAAATAATCTACTTAAGGCACCATCCAGTCATAACATTTTTATTATATTTAGCAATAATTATTATATTTACCGTTTTAAATGTTTAAAAAAAAATTTGTGTTTACATTAAGTAGTAAGTTACTTATTTTGGGTTGTTAATAATCTCAAATTTTAATATTTTAAATTTATACCTAACTCTGTGAATCTATATACACAATATATAAAAAAAAGAACATTTTAAAATTGTAAAACAAACATTGATATTTAATTTAATAAATTCAAATAAAAATATATTAAGGAATCATAACCTCAATCAGTTAGCTAAAATATAATTCTGATATTCATTTTAATACATTTTGAACTAATGGAGTTCTATTTAACTTTGTATACATCTAAAAGAAAATATCAAGTTTTTAATCAAGAGATTAGTGAAAATTTATTGAATATCTTTTATTTATAAATTATAATTAATATAAAAATTGAAAATGTAAAAACTTTCATATTTTAGCATTGACTTAATAATTAATACATATTATATAGTTTTAAGTTATAACTTATATCATCTTCCGATAAAATTATTATTTATAAATGTATGTACTATGAACAAAATTTGATAATAAATATAATTACATAAGTATATTAGGACTTAGTAGTATCATAAATCTATTTAATAATTGCATTACATTATTACACTAATAAAATGAAATTATTACAACAAAGCACAATTGACTAGTTAAGACATAATAGTGATAGTGGTTGAACTTTATAAATATTTATCAGTTTTATACCAAACGTAGAGTTCAAATAAATTACATAATTATTGTAATGGCACATATTGTTGCATGAAAATTTTTGGGAGATCTGGACCATAGTAAAGTTTTGTATTATTTCCTAATGATTCAATTCGTTTCATCTCTAAATACTCTTTCGTGAGTAATAATTTATTAGAATCAGCTTGCATTTTGATGCGATAAAATTCAGCATCTGCTGCACTCTTTTCTTTTTCTAAATGAATTGTATCTAAATTGACAAAAAAAAGTTAGAATATATGTTATATAAACATTTCATAAAAATTGTATAGAAATAATTACCTTCTATTACAGAGATTTGTTTAATAGATTCTTTTTCCATAATTTTTTGTTCAAATTCAATTTTTGACACTTGAGCTTGTTTTTCAGCTTCAATAATAGCACGTTTTCGCTCAGTTTCTGCTTCTTTTTCAACAACCTTTTGTCTTTGCTCAGCTATTAGTAATTTAGTTTTTTCAGCTTCCCTAAAAATAAATAGGTTAATCAATTAATAATGATATTATTAAAATGTATACAATTTTTACTAATACATGATTTCATAATTTTTCCTTATTGTCTCAGGTATTTTAGGTTTGGTGACACGCACAGAGTGTACTTTAAGACCAGGTGCCATTTCTGTTAAATCTTTTTGCAGGGCCACTTTAAGATTTTCATCAATTTGATCAAAAAGATCAATGTACACCTATAAAATGTATCATATTTAAAAACCAATTTCATAAATTACAAAACACAAAAGGAAATGTTACTTCGTGTAAATTATGAACACTGCAAAATTGGTTAAGTTCATGGTGCACTTTATTAAATATTAATGTTTTATCATAATCAGCAGTATAATTCTTTACAATATCATAAACTGAAAATACAATTAAAATAACATTAAAACTGGTGAAAAACAAAAATAATATTTGTTGTTATAACTTTTAATTTAATGGAAAAGTAAAATAATGTTAATTTTATTAAGATAAAAATGCATACGTATATTAAATAAAATGAATAAAAAGTATTGATATTAAATACCCAGTAATCTATATTAACCCAGAAGTTTTTTTTTATGACATGATAGTGTAATCATAACACAAGTAATTCCCATTTAATATAGAATGTCCAAAAAAGTTATATTTACATTGCCATAATGTTAAGTTACTGTTAGGTATAAATCCATTTAGTTACTTTTAGATTCTGATCAAGGAAAATTAACTTTAAATTAAATCTTCTTCTTCTCCTTCATCTTCAACCCAACTATTTGGGGTTGGTTACCCTTGTTTTAAATTTCCATTGAATTTCCATCTCCTACCTTGCATACACCAGCTGTCCTCATATAGTCATATCATCCTCTATCATATCAGAAAAACTCTTTTTCAGTTTTTCTCTCTACCTATTTCCTTTTATGTTTATTTATATTACAATTCCTAATACTTTAGATTCCTCTCCCTGTAACACGCCTCAATATATTTTCTCTTGTTTCGAAACCGCGCCTAAGCTACCTTTTATGTACTCACCTCTCGTCCTATCTTTTTTAGTTACTCCACTTATCCACCTAAGCATTTTCATTTCTACTACACTTATTCTTTGTTCTATTTTTCTTTTTGGTGCTTAACACTTCACATTATACAAGTGCAGAACTTAATTTTAAGTTTTATTGGAATTCTCCTGTCACCTCTTTTCACTTTATCTAACCTCTATTATAAGTTATGGTGATTTGAAGCATGTAATTATACATAATATGCGGAATAATCAATTATTTTTATGGTTTTTCTTCTCAAATTTAATATGAATAATAAAAATAAGACAGGACTTAGGCGACCTCCATGAGTTGGCTTCACGAGCTCGTGTCTGACTTATAAAACTAAAATAAAAAAAAAATTGAAAATAAACCCCAATTCATTAAGCATAACTTTGTCAAGTAGATAACAGAAAAATAACATAACTAAAAATTCAAAACCAAGCATTTGGTGAACACCATGAGCCAAACTATAAAAATGACAAACTTCAAATCGTTACCTATTAAAACAATCATTTTCAACTGGATACTGCTGCAAGGAGGATAGTGTCATAAGAGTAGTACACCATTAAAAATATTACTGATCTTGAGGTTTATTTATTTATAAAAAGTGATTGTAAGTAATGGTTTATGATACAAAAATTACGAAATACAATTTAGTATTTGTAAATATTTCAATGTTTATTTGAGAACTAATTTCGTTAGTTTTTACCTCGTGAAAAATAGATTGCTAGAGAAACGATTGTTGCTTAGATTCCTGCACACATCCCTTCATAATAGTAATTTGTTATGTTGTTATTGAAGGGTTATATTTTTTTCAGTTACACATTTATTTAACCTCCTCCCCTCAGTTATAAGATATGTTACAAGTACAAGTACAAGTATGATACAGTTACAACAATTTTTAATTTGTGAGGGTTGTGGTAAGATGCATTTTAAGCAAAGATAATTCATTATAGTATTATAAACTAAAATTAATTATATTTGTGTTTAAACAGTATTACATGTTATAAATTGGATGAATGTTATACTAATTTTTAATTGTTCCAGGTTTTAAATACAAATTCTAAATATAATATTGGACTCTTTTTAGTTTATGACCAAAAAATATTGTATTATATATTTTAAAAATTAAGTATAATTTAGGTAGTTACCACTATCAGAATTTAGTATGTTGACCACTTCAATTCTATCAAAATAAATCATTACACCGCCACTCGTACCACAAGGAACATTTTTAACTTCATCTGTCTGAAGTGTAACCTGCCAAGATAAATAAAAAATAATTAGGTATATACTATGCATAATGTTCTTTTTTACCAGAACATTGAGATAAACCAACTTACTTGTACAGATCGGAAAGCTGTTATGAATGGCATCATAATGTGATAACCAGGAAAACTAATTTGAGATAATAACGCACCACCCTAATAAAAAAATATATTCATAAAATAACATGAATATCATTACCAAATAATAATTAAACAATCAAAGTTATATTTACTCTGTAATAGACAGCTACATGGCCTTCATCAACTCTATGCAGACAAAAATGAGTCATTGTAACAGACAACAGGATTATCAGAGGTAATGCATAGGATAAATCTGCCATATTTTGGGCAGTAGTTCGTTTAAAAACTTATACTTATAAAATATATAAGATAGTGCAAAAATGAATATCTGTCAAATAAGTTGTCCAATTGAAAAAACTGACAAAATATCTATATTCCAAATTACAACTAATATAAGGCAAAATCAAGAAAAACAAATGTTACAAACTAAATAATAAATATTGCAATTGAATAAACAATAAAATTAATTTTATTTTTGTTTTATCTAGTACTAAATATTAATTTCTATTAAATTATTAAATTTTTTTAAAAGAAAACTGTGTCGGATCAAAGTTGGATTCGTTTGTATTATTATCATGTTATCTAAGACCATAGGCATGTATTGTCGAATAACCAAATGTAACCTGGTTTCTGAATTCTTAATTTCAGTTATAACCACGATCTTCTTAATATAATAATTAAAAAAAAATATAAAATAATATCATTTATTTAAAATACTAAAATGTGTTTGTCTTTAAAACGGTTTTAGAAGAACTTCTGTTAACTAAAATTAATGAAGTAGTGTTAATAATTATGGATTATCTGTAATTGTAACCGGCTTTTATCACACATTATTTGTTCGGCTTTTTTACAGTTTGCTGTATAATTATATTATATTATTATATTATAATTATATTCGGAAAAATAAGATTCAAACAAAATACATTTTTATTTAATACTGTTCTGCCAAAATAATTTTCTTCCAATTTGTTTTTGGGTTGTGAAGTTGTAGTTGAAATAATTTCCATATCTGTAGGAATTTTGGATGATAAAACTATGATAAGACTGATCGGAAATATTTTGTTTTTTTATCTTGGTATCATGAATATTGCTTGGTTTTAAATACATGTTCCATGAAAAATTTAATTTTTGGGTTATGTAACAAACTCATTAAAAACAAACACATTTTGATATTTTAAATAAATAATATTATTTTGTTAAATTAGTATGTAATGTAATTTAATTTGTAAATCTTTATTTGAAAATAAATAAATTTAAACTGTGTCATCTATCCATCATGAAGGAGATTATTGGTGGATTTTCTGAATCTGGAAGATATTATGCTGAAATCAGTGTTAATGGTAAGGTTAATGTCTGGGATACAAACGTTGGTGATTTGCGGCATACATATTCACCAAGTGGACATCTAAATTCGTCTGTCTCTTGTGTTAAATGGATTCAAATGGATAATACTGATTTACTTTGTATTGGGACACAAAAGGGTTATGTTGAGTTTTATAATATTGCCAGTGGATGTGTCTTCTCAAAAATTAATACTCAATCAAGAGCTGTCAAGAGTATTTATCGTTTAGCTCAATATTTATATGTAGGTTCAGATGATGGTCATGTTATGAAGTTTGATTTAAAGACCAACAAACTAGAAGAATCAAAAAATAAAATGGGTAAAATATGTGCACTTGCTGTGTTGTCTGATGGGAGAGTGTTGACAGCGTCCAGGGAAATAAAACTATGGAATTTTCCATCTGGAAAGTTAATTCATAAATTCATTGGTCATAAGAATGAAATCACTTCATTACACATTATAGAAGCTGATAAATGTTATTTATTAAGTTGTGCTAGAGACCGTTTTGTTAATATATGGTCGTTAAGTGACCTTAAACCAGATCCATTAGCTTCATTAGTTGCAGAAGATAATATTTCTTCTATGTTTGTACAGAATGCTCGCAATAATATTACTGTTACAGCGACAACTGAGTGTGGTACTTTGCATGTGTATGTACATGTATTGAATGGATGTGTTGTACATCCACTTAAACCTCAGGGAACTCTTCAAATAGCTGTGGATACTATTAAAGATGAAGAAAATGTACAAATGCCAATAATATGTTCTAAAATTATTGATTCAAGAGTATATGCAGTGTATGGAACCCGGCCATTTCTAGCATTTGAAAATATACAATTAAGTAAATTAAATAAATGCACTTTTATAGCAAGACAAGATCCAAAAAAATCAAAAACGGTTGTAGGTAGTCATATAATTAATCCAAATATTTCAGATGCTAAATGCATTGAACTAAAAAATAATAGATCATCAAATCTACCACTTGAAACAAGACTTCAAAATATGTCTGAAGAAATCGAAACCACAGTTCAGACTAAAGGTGAAAGTATTGTACATTTATTGGTTCAGGGTCTTCGTAGTAATGATAAGAATCTTTTAGAGTCTGCTTTATTTGTAAAAGATGACCGAACAATTGACAATACTGTATCACGTCTACCTTTACAATCAATCATCATGCTTGTTCATAAACTTATCCGCCTATCACAGGATAGAACATTGATAAGTTCTGTAAGTGTAAGGTGGTTGTCTGCAATACTACGTATTCATGCATCCTTATTATTAGCTAATCCAGATGTTTTAGAAACCTTTTTACCCTTAGAAAATGTTTTAAGTACAAGATTAAATAACTTTCGACAACTTGGATTATTAGAATTTAAACTAAAAGCTCTAGTTAACAAATTAAACTTTGACAAAGAAGATAAAGACAAAGAGCAAGCTGCACTATTGGTGTATAATGATTCAGATGACGAAGATAAAAAAACAATAGATGAAGATGCATTATTGGCACCCATTGAATCTGAAGACGAAGATCAAAATACAACTGATGAAGAAGAAGAAATGGATATAGATATAAATGGTGAAGATTATCCAGTTTTAATTACAAATAAAACATAAATTATACAATTTTTTTTTTAATTCAATTATTAATGAATTAATTTTTAAATATATTATATATTTTAATTAATATAGTTTGATTATTTGTTGTATTATAATCGTTTATTTAATTAAGAAAAAATTACAATTCAGTTTTATAAATGTGTATGTGTATGTCATAGTTGAGCAAATCAATATTTTATATGTTTTCCATGACAATTATATTGGACTAATGAAAAACTTTAATGCAATTTAGTGACATACTATTATTCTAATATAGTATATTTTGGTTTTACATATTTGTGGGAGGTTTTAAAATTAAAAATACTTAAACTAATATTTTTAAATTGAAATGTTATTAAGAATATTGCGAGTTTAATCTCTAAATTTTGGTCATTATAATATTGTATAAGAGAAGTAAGGTAATATAGGAAATATAACACCTGTAAAATTGTAAGACAAGTAAGTTATCTTATACATCAATAGTATATGACAAGTAATTTTATTATAACTTTATTAATTTAATAACATAACATAATATTATTATTATTATTAACAGGTGGTTCTGACAATAGATAATAAATTATAAGTAGATGTTAATAACTAAAAATAAGAATAAATAAATCTCAGCAAGTAGAAGAAATACTAAGAAAGCAAAACTAATAAAGAAGTAACAAGTAAATTTGGCACATAGTAACTATATTATACATAATAAAACAACGCAACTTAATTGTTTTTTTTATCGTGGATAATTTTGTAAACATTTATTATCATATTTATGGTACTTAAGTAAAACATGGTTTATTATTTTAAATAAATTCTCAGGCTTAAAAATAAATAATTTTGGCTCTTGGCTCACTAAGATTTATTATTACTTTTTATGTCCCTTTGTAAAAAAAGGTTGATCACCACTGATCTAGAATATTAATCAGGATTTCCAAAAATGGCCTTTCTAAAGAACCAACTAGATTCAAAATGCAATAAAAAAGTCTTGTAATGTTTTGATTCAAGCAATATTTCTAGGAGAGATTGATAATAAAAAAAAAGTTAAGACATGCAAGTAAAATGATTATGCAGGTACAGTTATACACAGTATTTTAGTGGATAACAATATTTCAGAACTAAAGATAGGTAGCACAGAAAAAAAATGTATACAAATATTACTGTAACAGTTTCACCAAACCTTGACTTAACTAACAATCAGGGCTGGCTTGAAGGCAGTCCAATCTGTGCACTTGCACAGAGCCCTTGTTATTGAATTGTATTTTAAAGATTTACTTACACTTGGTATTAGAAGGTGAAAAAGCAAAAAAAGAACTACCTAATTAAGACACTACAAAATGACTGCGTATTTCCAAACTGGTTTTGGTAATAATTCACATTCCTGTTTACTTTAATTCTAAGTGATAATAAACAATTACTTTTTTTTTAGTTCCATTAAGCATTAAGTGTTTCACAAATTTTATGAAAAATACATAACCAGTATAAATACTGATACCTACAAGATTAGTGGATAAAAAAAATATCAAATATCAATTGATCAGTTGCATATATACAGTGATAGATCTGGGAACAAAATCACTTCCATGGATTTTTCATAGGTACATTTTACATATATTATGAAATTAAAAGTCCATCAGAAAAGATAGATAGAGAAAAAATAAGTAATGAAACCCTTAAAGTAAAATTGTAATTTTTTAACCTAAAACATTGTATAGTAGGAATTTTAGTTTTTTTATATATCTAATTTTTTTAGCGATTTATAATTAAGTAGGTAGGTACCTATCTAATAATTATTAATATTATATTATTGTGTTTATATTTTTATTTGAGGTAGAACCATTTCCCTCAGAATTCATTAAATTAAATTAAGACACATAAGGGATTGATTGAAGTATGCTCAAAAAAGAAAATAATATTAAATACAAATACATACATTTAAGTAAATAATTATAAATTGTTTTAATGTCAAAGTAAACATTTATGTATTTTAAATGATGAGTATAACTTATATAGGTACCTAAGTATTATATAAATAGTTAAATATAGCGTTTATAAATAATTCTATTCTTCATTAGTTTTACTATGATGTGTGTTTTTTTATTTTTATATTCTGAGCAAACTGAGGAATGTGTAGGTTTTACAATGATGTTTATTTTGAATTATTTTTTTATATTCTGTGTACACAAATTCTTCCGGAAATCTTGCTCAGATGTAATAAGTGTAACATATTTTCTGAAAGGGAATTATATATAGTTGATACTTAAAGGAAATTATTCTTTGAATTTCCTAGCAGTTTTTATAATAATTGTGAGAAACCGTGAAAAACGGGAAAATTAATGAATATACTTAATGCTTTTATTGTTTTTAATTTTGGTATTTTTTTGGTATTTAGTTAAAAATTTACCTATGTTTAGAATTGAAATGTTGACAGAAAACTTACATTTGCCTTTAGTGGACGTGGTAAAATTTTAAAATCATTTGAGCAATTTTTAAATTATTTATAGATATTTTAATTTTACGAGTTTTTATGTAATATTTATTTGGTAGGTACTCTGTAGATAAAATTGTTAGACCAAATAGATATAATAGAAAATTGAACAGACGGTTCATTATAAGTTGTACTTAGTGGTAAACAAGAAAAAGTTGAGTTTAATGTTATTTTTTCCCAGTTTTTCCAATTTATTATGTAAACAGCTGAGAAAATAAAAAATAACTTCTCTTACCCCAGTCAAATTTCCTTTAAAAAAAAAATGCTATACCTACTTAAAAATCTGATTAAAATTACTGGTAGAAAAGTTGTTCTGCCAGTAAATATCCTATGAAAATGGTCGAAAAAAAACAATAGTGATGTGCAAATGATATACAAAAGGTCAAATCCCATTTATATAGCAAATAGATACATCTGCTTTGTTCTGTCTTATACGGTTTGGGTTGTCCATTGTGCTCCATTTAGGTAAAATCCTGAGACTGTGTTAGCAGGGTTTTTAATGAAGGATTGGTTTTGGAAGTTCGTTCATCTCTGTTATTTTATTTGAAGATACAAAATTCCATGTAGGGTTTCTAGTTATGGGTAGGTATCTATTATCATCCTTTCCTAATAACCTAGTAAATTTCATTTAAGATTCATCTACTAGAGATTTTAATGGTAAGGTTATTCAATTTTATTTGATAAAGTTTTATTGTGGAAAATAGAGCAGTAAATACAATAAACGTATAAGTGTCGATATAATAAATATGCAATAATTATTAATAAACTATCAAAGATAATTCTGTTTGTGTCTGTGGCTTATTTCAAATAAGGAACGTTATTACTTTAATACGTAGCCGGATCGTCTACAATTTATCCTCTTAGCTAGACATTTTCGTAAATTATTAATCGCTGAATAATGTTTAAAAATTGTTTTAAGGGTGCGCGTGGGGTGAGTCCTCTACGGGTTAGGTTTAGTTTAATAATAGGGACGCTTATTTTTTCCAAGTTTTATACCTATTCTCTTTTTTATTTTTCAATTAGAGCAATGACCACTGGTTGTCAGTGGATACCGTTGGCGAAATACATGATACCGTATATTTAACCACGGGCCTGTGGTCAACGGTCGCCGCATTGTTTTATTTTTTCTTCTAAGTTCTAAGATTCTTAACGATGAAGTTCTGGTTACCACATTAGTCCGTCGGCGATCAGAAGCGCGCGCTGCGTCTCTACTCTCCCCACTTTTACAGTTTTCGTCGGAATGCGTTCGCCACTCATAATGTTACCGTTGACTTTTCTAGAGTGTTTGAAATATATTTTATATATATATATATATATATATATAAATACACATATAGTATAATATAATGTCATATTGTATGTTTAATAATTGTTTAGTTTTATTTTTTGATTTATTTTCTATATACTGTTTAAAGGCAATTTGCATGTAAAATGCTTAATAAATGAATGTAGGTGCTGTCACAATAATCGTTTGTCTATCATAGGTATAGCTTAGCGTCAATGGCGGCCGTGGCTATGGCAGTGGACACTGGTGGATAAAACTTGGCGAATGGTGATAATGGTGAGTACCTAGTACTTAATTACCTGTTATATTTTTCAATAAAAACGAATTATTAATCATAATAATAATAATCAAATCAGTCGAATTTATAAATTTATAATAGGTACCTATAACTGTTAATGAATATAGCCGTTGATTCCAAAAACCGCACACTTTTGATAAAATTTAAGGCAAACCCGCACATTTTTTAAAATCGTTGTATTCAAAAACCGCACATTTCATAATAATGTATAATCTATTATTTATATATGTGTTATGTATTAAAAACAAATTGTTTAGGTACAATTTATACATTGAAAAATTTAAGATGTGAAACCACTAAAATACTAACAGCCAACATCAAGTTATGTTAACTTGCGTTTCAGTCGATAACAACTGTATTTGAAAAATACTTAATATTTGACCATTTATTATCAATTTATCATAAGTTTAGATCGCGATGTAAAGAAGATGTATTTTCTCTACATCGTGGTTTAGATGAAACACCTAACTACGAATAATGGTTCGAGCATATCAACCTATTCAATAAGATATAACTATATACGCATTTGTTTGTATCAGATTATTTTAAAATTATAAATACAATGTGCGTTTATAAACAAGACATTAATATAAGTGTGCTGTATTCGGCTATACAATGTACTTACCTGATAACCAACAAATTATGCAGTTTTTGTCTCTACCTTTTTGGAGTTGAAATCATATTTGTGTTGTTTTTGGATGCAACCCACAATGTGACCGTAGGGGGTTACGGGTAGGGGAGTCTCCAGATCTTAAATATGGGGGGGGGTTGTGAAATAATTAAATGATTGAATATAATAAAATAATTAAATATTAATGTACACAATATTCAGATATACAGGATTAAACCATTTTTTTCATCTTAGAATCTAGAACCCTTTCTCTCAAAACATATTAGTATTACAAAGATGTTACATTATTTATCATCATTTAAACAATAATAGAATATAATAATTAGGAACGTGAAAAAACATGGCTCAAGGGGGGGGGATCGCTCTGACTCCCCTTTTGTATCAACCACTGTGTTACATGCATTCCACTTCAAACAAATAGTAGAGGTAGGTACACTATAATTTCTTATAAATTACATGTGGTCCTCAATTCAAGCACTGCTTATAAGTTAAATTTTTAATTGAATTTCATGAAAAACATTATAATAATAGTAATTACTATTAATTTAAGTAATAAATACCTATTAACATGTACTTATACTAATATAATATATACCTATACATTAATGTACAAATGTAAAATAGTTAAGTATACATGTATGGTATTTTATAGGTTTAACAAAAATATAGTTGGTACTTAATTTTATTTAATTAAAATTTATCTACCTACCTGTTAAATTATCACTAAAGTTTAAATTCCACAAATTAAAATTATTATTTCTAAAAATACTTAGGTAGTTCAATATTATTTAGCTGAAAATTAGTTGTAGGTAAAGTAGCCACGTCTTTTTATTTGTTTTATGGGTATTCAAAATGGGTTGAAGATATTCTTTATTTATTTTAATCAGTAGAATAAGATTATCTATGTACCACTATATATTGTTTTTGTATTGTATATTAACATTTCCATTTTTAACTTAAAACCGTTTTATAAATGTATTAATTTATTATTGTTATAGATAAATATTTAAATCTTGACTTTTATTCATGAATGTTCACCCAGAATAGAAGTTAGCCCTTAAAATGTGAAGTATGTCCTACAAATACAACTAGAATAGGCCGGTATATCTAGTGAACCATTTCTATCTATTCAAATTACCATCTATATTAATGGTTAATCAATATTAATACATTATATTACAATAATAATGACAAATATTACATGATGATAATAATTATAATAATTTAATAATAATAATATAATAAATAAATAAATAAATAATAATACATATAAATATAAGTTTAAAACATTGATTTACCGTTCAGTCAATTCATTTTTAATTTAAAATACTATTTAACTCTAATAATAATGGCTTGTACAAATTAATTTAAAATATATACATTATAGAATTTAAATATTATGATATTTATAATTTATGAACAGTGGTGAAAAATTAAGATTATAGTTTGAGAAATCAATATCTAATAGGTACCAAATGAATAAACATTTCAATAAGCTACATATTAGTCATTTATGTCAACACAAATATTATCATTAGTACAAAAAAAACATGTTCTCTAAAATAACAGTAAATTTGACTACTACAGATTGATAATATTTAAAAGAATCTGTACAATTTCTGATTTTTGGATCACCCTGTGGATAATGCATAAATAATAATACAGGCATCCATATGAAAACCCATCTAAGTAGGTACTCAAAATAAGTTTCCAGTAAATTTAGGTTGTTTTAAATTCGTAATAAAAATAATAATAACAGTAAAAACAAATTTAATACAAGACTGTAGAATTCTAAATAGTGCAGTGATCATATTAAAAAATTGACAAGTTATTTCAAATTAGGAACAACCATAATGATACCCAATTGAAAAAATTTACCCACCTATGTTGTTTTACAGTTTATGGTTCGGTTTTATTTTTAAGATAATATATAAAATAAATATTAGATTAAATTTTAAAGAATTCACTTGGGGACAATAATGTTATTATCCAAATGATAATAATTATAATGTTCAACCAAATGAAAACCAATAATAAACAATGTTTTTCTCTAATTTATGCACAATGTACCTATATATGTATACATAGCAATATATAGAAAAAATTAAAGTGAAAATTTATGTAAGTAGCATTTTTGATTGTAGACAAAATATATTTATAACTTAATATATTAAATGTAAATACAAATATTATTTTGGTGTACCTATTATAATTTTAGGTATAACATAGGTAGGTAGTATCTATATAATGTGTGTATAAAAACTAAGTATAAAAAAATTAGGTGAGTACCTATAATAAAAGTTTTTAATTAATCAATATTAACTAAAACTAATATGTTGGTCTGTTTATGTAAACACAGACAACACTATTAATTATAGATACAAATGCATAAGTCACAAACTAACAATTTAGAATATATTAATATAATAATATATAGATTAGCCATGTTCTTAACAAGCTCTGTAACAATTTTTTTTGGTCTTAACCCTTCAATTGCTATTAAATAATTTAAAAAATGCACTCCAATTTACCCAGCTTAGTTTTCATATTAACATGTGCCTTAATCCACTTACTTTTTTCCATTGAAATAACATGGAATTTGAAATTAATTTTGTTCAAACATGCATAACATTGTAAATTTTGGTAATACAAATTTGTACTAAAATCATTCGAATGCCTATGAAAAAAGCTACAAATTCACATTATTTTTCATCATCAGTTTAAATGTTAAATAGATTTGAATGTGGAAAATACAACATTTATTTTATTAAGTATACATAAAATAAAAGTCGTAATAACTCATTTATTATCGAAATTGAAATTTTAATAGATACATTATAATCTTAATGATACAAAGAGCTTGAAAACGATTAATTGAAACTTCTGAATTAATCACGAAAATGTATGCAGGTTTGTTCTGCAAAAAAAAAAATGAATAGAAAATTTATTTTCCATAAATTATGATGAAGAAAGTTGAATGGAAACCGTTACTCAGTTTATCTGTCCGCTTTTTTTTATTGTTTTTATTTATCATAATATGTATTTTATAAAATCATAATTATACATATACATTTTTACTTTCTTTGAAAACTTCATATTTTTTTTACTATAGTTTGCTTTTTAATATCAAGGTAGTCTTTTCTGAATTGATCAACGATTTCCAAGTTATATTGTTTTTGATCTTCATTGGTGGTCTGAATATTATTGTATCTTTAAGCGCATTAAAAAGGAATATTATGAGAAATAAAACAATAAAGAAAAATGGATAGATAATTCGAAGATTGATTTCTATTTAATTTTCTTTCCTTTTTTATTTTTCATTATTTATGGAAAACAAATTATTTTTTAGAAGAACAATTCTGAATTGATTCAGAAGTTTCAATAAATCATTCTCGAGCTCTTTGTATCATTGTGATTATAAAGTATCCATTAAAATTGTGATTTTGATAATAAATGAACTATTATGTCTTTGATTGTATGTAACATATAATACATTTTGATATTTAAACATTCAAATCTATATAAAATTTAAACTAATGATGAAAAATAAGTTATTCATAGGTATAGTGAATTTGTAGATTTTTTTATTAGATTTCAAATGGTTTTAGTTTCAAACTTTTATTATCAAAATTGATAATGTTATGTGCATTAGAATACAATATATTTAAAATTCCATGTTATTTCAATGGGAAAAAGTAAGTGGATTAAGGCAAGTGTTAATATGAAAACTAAGTGAGGATACTTAGGGGACATTTTTTTTTTTTAAGTTATAGAATTAATTGTAGGGTTAAGACCAAAAAAAATTGTTACATGACATTTTTTTTTTTTATAAATACAGACTATTATTGTGATTTTTAAATATTAAACACTGTTCAGGTTGTAATGGTCCAAAAATAAATATACGAATGATATCACAAGCTGGCTTCAATTATCTGCCCTGAAAATATTAAAATAAATTATAGATTATAACAATTCTAATAATATTGTAGTAAAGTCATGGATAGTGGATGAGTTGAGTTTAATTAAAAAACATTAAAATATGAACATTAAACAAAAAAAATATAAAAAACATATCATATTTAATAATATAAATTAAAATTAAATAAAAAGCAACTATATAAAGAAAAAATCTAATTAAGAGAGAACTTTAAGTACATAGGTAGAACTTTTTTAAGAATAAAGTTTGTAAAGTCGTTTGTAAAATATGAAGATTCATTTAGGAATTTTCATAATTAAATTAGACATTTCTATAGACCTTAAGTTTTTTAGACTAAGAGGAGAGAAGAATGTATTGGTTTTACATTGATGTTTATTAATATTATTATTTTTTTTTTTTTACTGTATACAAATATTTTACCAGAATACTTGCTTTGATATATCGAATGTAGCACCATTTCTGAAAAGGAATTTTATCTAGTTGATACTTTAAGCAGGTCATTTTTTGATTTTTCAATCAGTTTTTATAAGAATGGAGAAAAAACATAGGAGAAATGGGAAAACTTAAGAAAATAATGCTTTTATTTTATTTTTTTTTATTTTAATTTAGTTTAAAATTTTTGTATTGAAATTTAGACAGAATTATTAAACTTATATTTTTACTCTCTACAGTTCTTTTAAAAAATTGAACTTTGTTTCACATAATATTCTGAATGGATACAATTCTGAACAGGGTTTGGTTAATATTGTTGCTTTTTCAACAATATGTATCTCATATTATGGTAAAATAATTAAATAACCATTATATATTTTTTTTAATCATTTTTGTTTAATATTATACTGATTTTGTCGTTTTTAAGTAAATTTGTAAGCAACGGTAAACCATTGCTTGACGAAAGACGATTCCGAGCGCAGTTTGGTAATACATAATTTGAAGCGGCGTAATTTTTTTTTGCAATTTTCGTTTAAATTTGTCCAATATAAGTATTATTATCAAGTTTCAAGTCTTCACGTGTATTTATAACTGAATTATAGTGAAAAACTACCAAAAATTAAAATTCCATAAAAAGCTCAATAAAAAGTTATAACGATGATGCGGTAAAAAAAGGAATTCAAAAAGGCAACAGAAAAGGTGTTATGTGATTTTTCGATTAAATCATTTTTTCTGGTAAAAAACGTCCGTGTTATTATAAAATAATGAAATCGTGAAATTTTACATTTTCCTACGTTTTTTTCTACTTAAGTGTACAATCTAGATAATTTGAGGTTTCATACAAGTTTCTACACGTAAATATTAGAGCAAGAATATACAGAAAAGGCGAAATGAATTAATAGGTCATAATTTAAAACACGATGGGTTGTTATTACAAATATTAGAATGAATAATCGATAGAAAAAATTACAGAGGAAAAACAAGATTGCAATACATAAGTCAGATACTAGAAGGTCAAGGATGTAATTCATACCAAGAGTTGAAGAGGAAGGCTAATGATATAAAAAACACAGAAGTTGCTACAAACCAATAATTAGATTGAATACTGCAGAAAAAAAGTTAGAAAAAAAGACGTCCTAGGATAATGGGGATGGGTGTAGCCACTGTTATAGGTAATTTAATGTATACCTGTAAGCAACAATTAACCTTTGCTTACGAAAAAACGATTCCGAGTTGAGTTCCGTTGATAGTGATGCTTTGTCAACAATATATATATGTAATTTTATAGTAAAATAATTAAATAGCCTATATATTTTCTTTTAGTAATGTATGTTTCCAGGTTTTCTCAAGTTTTATCCCGGTTTTTCACATTTGCTGGGAAAACTTGGGAAATCGAAAAATGACCTCTCTAAAATCTCGCTAATGAAATTTCCTTTTAGAAACATTGCTATTATTAAATATTGGAGTGAAATTTCTGGTAAAAAAGTTGTACAAAGAAAAAAAGAAGGCCGTAATATATTTTAACCAATACCCACATTTCGTATATTTTACCTTTTTATTTTTCGGTTTTCCAAATTTGATGAGAAAACTTCTGAGAAAACCGAAAAATGACTTTCTTAAAGTTCCTCCTTTACGCTGATTTCCGTTCAGAAAATGTGTTACACTTGAAAATTTGAGCAAGTCTTCTGGTAGAAAAGTTGCGTACAAATAAAAAAAAAAAAAATAAACATCTTTGTAAAACTATACGCTTCTTCGCTTCACTCAGAATCTAAAAGCTAATGATTTTGATTTTAATTTAAGTAAAAATTGTTTTATTTAAAATTCATTAAATTAAATTTTGCCTAGAAAATTTTGTTAAATCTAAAAGTTATATTTGTTAAATATTATTTGTTATATATTGTAATATAGTACCTATATTAGTATATGTCTACTTACTTAAATTATTGAAATAGATTTGACGGAAACGTATTTAAGTTTGATATTTTTTTTATGATACGTTTATCCACCGGTCTATACTATACTCTAGAGCGGCTATCCATCTGAAAAATTAAAATTCCCCATGATCATTAAGTCCATAGGTTTCTATACTAATGATTATAATATTATATGACACAATGCACGTACCTTCTTTTGTCTACTTCGGTGTCAGTATAAAAATAAAAATATCTAAACGACAAATCGGGTGGTATAAGCTCGAATGCAAATTTTTTTATGCTAGTGTTAACGGAACTCTGTACTCTGTAACCATGAAGACATGCCATTCCTGGAAATTTTTAGAATTGTGAGGAATCATGATATAGGTATATTAATCAATAATAATTACCGTTTGCAAATCGAGTTACACTGTCTACAAAAAAGTACAATCTGGCATCTATGAGAACGCAGTAGTATTTTTTCCACGATTTTCCACAGTGGTGTACCAACGTGGAGAGAAAACCCTTACAGTCTGATAGCGGATCTGTGGTGACTACGGTTTGTAGATTTTTCTCGTTTAGCCATTCCAATGACTGAAAAAGTTATAAACTATTTAGTACGAGTATACTACATTGAAATCGACGAATATAAATGACGCTTAAAAACATGATTGTACTCTACCGTTACAATCAATAATAATATCAGTATCTATACTACTTATGTATCTTCTCCTTTGTCTTCATCCCTACTATTTGGGGCCGGCCACCCTCGTCTTCGTATTCTTATTCTCAGCCGCATCTAAGCATTTCATTTTTGGTCCTATCTTTCCTACTATATTAGTTTCATTACAATTCATACTGCTTCTGATCGCCTCTTCATATGACATGTTCAAACCATCTCAGTCTATTTTCTCTCATTCGTCTACTATTGAAGATATGTCTATAAGGTAAATACCATATTACTTATTAAGTACTCATTCTTTATCCTATTTTATCCTATCACTACACTCATGCACCTAAGTATTCTCATCTCTGCTATATTCATTTTCTAAGTCTATTCTATTTTTCTGTATACTGCCCTTACTACGAACTATACAGCATGGTCGGTTTCACCACGTTTTTCTATAATTTACATTTATGTCTCATTGGAATTATCTTATCTTATAAAACACTTGACGCTTCTATCTACTTTACCCAATCAAACTTGAACCTATGTTTCACGTCTTTGTAAAATACACTGTTTTTTTTTACAAATATTTAAGTATCTACTTAAAACTCGCAATCTTGCCAATTATCTACGTAACCGTTTATTGTTGTTAGGTGTCTTGTCTTGTTCCTCCAAATTCATACTTAATTTACTCTGTTTTACCTCTACTTATTCTTGATCTATTTCCGTTAAATGCTACGCTCCATTCCTTATAGTTATTGCAAATTTCTTTTATATTTTCTTTTATCAAATCTATATCATCTGAAAATATCATGCATCATGGTGCCACCTCTCGTTTGTCATCTCCGTCTATCTCCGTTAATCTGGCTTAGAATTTTCCCGGGAATTCTTCATACTGTTTGATAGAATTTTACACCGGCTGTCAACCTGACATAACCCCATTTAGCATCTTTTACGAGAATTAGAGGTAATATCTGAGTATTTTGATTCTTGCATACAGGGAGAATGATAATATCAGTATATTGAGTTAAAATTCTGCTCTACTTACTGGACTTTTAGAGGCTTCGTTGAGAGCATTGATCCATCGGTCTGCATTTTCCGCGGTGTTTGCAGCTATGTGCAATCTGGTTTTCTTGTGATCTTTTTTTTCCAGTCGGAAACTGTACATTTTCCCCGTATCTGATGATGTTCGTACTATTGTACATCCTTTGAGACTAATGGCACCTAAAGGATGTCTGTCCTAAAGAACATAACAATAGATTATAATTATTATTTCATAGAATGAATTTTATTCATCGTATGAATGTTATCAAAAGTGTCTAATGTAGATAAATAAAAAAAAAACCAAAAACATACTCTTTTTAATGA